TGTATGCCACCATGCCTGGCAATAAAATTATTTTATATGAACACCTAAAAAGGGCAAATGAGTTTTTATTTTTAATCTTCAGTTATTTTGTAATTAAATTACATTTGGACACTCAATTTCCTTTAATTGATAGTGATTTTAACATTTCTCTAAACAGGACACTGGAAATTTTAATGAACCAGCATTACTATAATGGCTTCTGCCAAACAACCACTTTGGTAAATTGCCTGTTAAAATTATGTATCAAGAGCTTTATATATTACAAAGAGCAAATAAAAAACAAAGAAATCATGAGACTTTACAAAAGAGCTTAGAAAAACAAGTTTTCTATTTATTTAAAAATAAGTTTATAGTTACTACATTGCAGGGACAGGAATTCTTACACATACATTCTAGTTTGTATAAAAGGATTCAAAGAATTATGCATCAAAACTAACATAGAAAGTGTCCACGTAACAGTAAAGAAAGTTCCAATCAATATGTACAAAAAGAAAGGGCACTGCTATTGTGGTGTGAGACTGCTGTTTATAACATGATACTCCAGGTCTGGAAGGAAAAAAACCCAAAAACCTCAATAAAGCTAAATAATAATTTGTTTTTAACTCTGTTACTTATTACATACAACAGATTTGCTTGTGTTTAACATTGTTTTCTGTACAAAATAAGCATAATTTTAATTTGAAAATGTGTCAGTTTCAACCTTAACCCTCTAGGTCAGTTACTTTTTAAAAATTGAGCTACATTCTACACATGTCTAAATATCCTGCGACAGGATTAAACAGTTTTCTAAAAGATCTTTTTTATAAGACCTGTCTTCTTGCAGTTTTAATATGGTCCAAAAATGTAACTTTATTTCGTCTCAYTTTACAGTCTATCATTGTGATAAACACACATTCTTAAGAGTAACCAGTATGTGTATGCATTTGTATGCATCTGCTTTATATGCTTGTGTACTACATACCATCTTGAACCTATTTTCTTATCTCYTTGAATGTAGAAACTCAGTCACACAATATTATGTATTTGGTTTGTGCCATATAAGGTTAATTTCCTGATAATTTTATCTGCATTAAAAAAGTATTCCAAAACAGCTATCAAAACTAAAAATATGTATTTATAGCTCAGATTTTCTACTCACTTTTACTGTAGTGTGTATAAGGTTTATCGCTGGAGTGCTCAAAGTGGTACTTACAGTCTTCTGACTCAATGACCTCTTCCTGGGTACTGTACATAGTTCAAAATGACTTTTCATTTGGAGTGCTTTGCTAGTTAAGAAAATAGTTTCTTAGTAAATGTAATATTAATTTAGCGCAAATCACTTGGAAACAGGGAAAGTAAGCGGAAGTGCAAAGATGGAAGCAAGAAAAGTTATATTTTTCCAGCTTTATTGGAAGATAAATTCTTACCTAAATAAAACTAAACCACTGCCTAACCTGTTATGTTAAAAACATTTTCTATGTAAATTGGGACCTGTAATCCACAGAAGATAAAGTAATTCCTCTATTATAACTTTTAAAATCATACACCTCCTGCATTTAAGGTGAACATTTATAGCCCTTTAATCACTCAAGTATCTTGGTCCTTTCAATGTACTCAAAAATAAATTTCAGTCAACAAAAACCTTCAGAATAATGTTTTCTTTAGATAGAAAACTGGAAATCAAAATTATTTCCAGATTATACTTGAGAAAAATATATAGGCATCAATGAATACAATGGAATGTCAAAATTAAAGTAATACTTCTAACTGGAGAAACTACATTATGAATAATACTTTGTAACAGGTAAATGCTAATATCAAACAAGATAAAATGTCATTTCAATATACTTGTTAGATAATTTGCTACACTGCAGATAAGGGACAGTTTTAGATATTAGCATATGTGCTGTATGAGGATCTTTTCTCTGCTCACTGTTTCTTAAACTTAATTCATTTCCAGGTGATACTTAATTCAGTCAATTCTATGTCTCAGATGTGACCTAAACAAGCTCACACATATTCTATGATTTTTCTAATTAAGGAGGAAAGACAGTTTTGTAATAATGCCACCAATCTGCAGTGAAGTTGGGCAATAAAAACAATGAAAATAAGGCCTAACTTAATTCATAAATATATACAAAAAATGGTTCAATGCTATAATAGCAGATTGCAAATAATAAAATTTAAGATGCTAAATATCCATTGCCAAAGGTTATAAGACTATCATTGGATTGAATATTTAAAACTACTCAGTGGTCACATTCAAATTTTGTAAGATTCATCTGGGGCTTGAGAATATTAGGAAAGAGAGAACATTTAGGCTTGGGTATTCATCAACATGTAAATTAATTTCCACATTCCATGCATGTAACAAGTTATATTTCAGAAACTTGCAGCAAACTTGAGATTTTTATATTGCTCACCTGTAAGACAAATGCTAATGTTTCATTCTGGCTTAGAAACAGTACATACATAACTTTACTGTCTTAAAGAGGGTATTTTTCCAAGTGGTAAAACAAAACAAAAACATGGCAATGACTTAAATTTCTTAATTCAATTTTTGCAATGTATAGAATCTAAATTATAAAAATATATCTGGTATTATCAATACATTTTTAAGTGTTTCTGTTWCAAATAATCTGATCCAAGTCATTTTGCTTTACTAAGAAACCAGTGTATGATAATGTCCAAATATGGCCAAATATACAGTATCTTTAGAATAGGTACAATACATTTACTTGTTATAGGAAAGATGGCAAATACTCATTTTTCTGCTCAAGAGTTGGAGCTAATCCATACACTATATAGAGGTACTCTAAGACTGTGTGCACTGTTTCTTTCTCTATACACACCTCAAGACTATACACATTTTTTTTTTTTACAAAAATGGATTTTATAGTCTATCCTTTTTTTATAACACAATGCAGATAACATCAGGAAATTATATTTTCAAATAGATTGCCTTCAAAAACAACTAATTATTTTAACGCCTTAAATTTCAAACATACAATTTCAATAATGGTGTAACTGAAAGATTCATTTTTCTATATAACCAAGCCATCCATTTCTGCATTATGAAGAGTTTAACTACTGAATTTCAATTATATAGTTAAATATATCTGTTAGAAAAAAATAAATATACAAAAAACCTGAAAAATTTGAAATTATTATTCAACTGCAAAATCACAGCAATCCAGTCAAGATCTGGAAAATGGTTTACTTAATTTCACAGGAGGATTTCTGTACAAATTTCGTTACAAATGATCTAAAAAGCCAAAATGCATCACTTTTCATTCTTCTTCAAGACAGTCAAATGACAGTTAACATTTAACTTATCGGAAATAAGAATAATTATTATGTATTTTGCCAAGGTTCAATTAAAGACTTTATTTTTCTACATTAGGGTCATGCTGATACATATTTTTCCAATCCTTGCTTTTTAAAAATGTAGTATTTGAAAATTTTGGTTACATTTTTGTACCATATCAGTCCTCAGAAAATACTACATTCTTTAAACTTTTTAAAAAATGGACGATAATTTTTAAACAATAGAAATGGTATTTATGTTGGTTTTTAAGGTATAAAATAACTAACTGTACCATAAACAAATAAATAACTGCTTTCCTTTTCCATAGCAGTACATATAGTAATACATTCTCCTAAGTCATATAGTTATCATTTACAATAGACAACTTAATTTTACTAATGATGCAAAAAATAATAGAATACAAGGCACAATCATTAAATGGAGTTTTTCTTTAGGGTGTATATTGACATACCAGCGTGATAAGGATACCGTAAAAAGTGCAGAAAAAACACAATGTGCAATGAGACCACTGTATAAAACATGATTGCATAAAAAGTGATTTGGCCTATTTTAACCTTTAATAATTGAAAATAACCAATCTTCCCCTTAAAATTAAACTATAAAGTATGACATTTTAAAATTATTTTTATTCTACCACTATCTAAAAAATCCTGAAAAAAAGGAATTTATACCTGGGTAATAGTATATAAGTATGTGTTTGTATATATATTTAATTATACCCATTTATCAATATATACACATACACACACAGACACATTTCTTTGTAAGTCATTTTAGCCTATCAGATATGTCTAAAGTTTAGAAATGACATTAATCCAGATCAACAAGTAAACATCAAATCCCATACCTTTTTTCCTGTATCTTCCTTGAATCCTTTAACCACTTAAAACATTTCTCTAAGACATCTCTGTCAAAGGACCCACCAGTGCATTATTTTCTACTATTAGTACCAAAAAAAGAATATATCTCAGCATAACTCTTTAATAATTTGCTCTTTAGAATATATATCCTTTCCAATATTGAAAAGTGTATGCTGTCCTGACAGTCAAAAAACAGGCTTTCCACTGCACTGATTCTCAGTCTTTGGCACAATAAACAGAGATTGAGAGACTGATATAAGAATCAAGGTCTGAAAAATTAGACAGTCAAATGTTTTCCAATGTGGATATGTTTCCTTTTCATCAGCACATTTTGAGTTTGGCAGAAATGGAATAAAGCAAAAGCCTTCTCTAGATATTTTGTAGATGAACGTTCTGTAACTAAAATTAAACTTTTTAGGGAATCAAATGGTAGGAATTTTATCTTTAGAGGAAACACATTCCTTAAATTTACTGCTACTCTATGTAATATCTGTCTTCCTAGGGGCATGACCTCTGTATCAAGAAAAAAATGTAATCTTGCTTGATCAAAAATAATTCATTTTAATATGAAATGTTCTATCATTAGGAGTATTATGCTCCTTAAGAGTGTAGCAGAACTGTCTCTTTCATAAATAAATCAGGAATTCATTATAGGTCCTCAATTTCTTATGTTTCAAACAGTGAATGAAATGAATATGGAAATGTATAACCTATCTAAGGGCAATAAATAGCAAACATTTAAAATATATATGTATATATTTATATATATATATATATTCATTTAAAGAAGTGAAGTGTCTTCTAAGATTTTTTTTTTTTTTTTTTGCAAGTCAAATCATAACATTCCCTAATCCACCATAGCAGCAAGGAAGCAGAAGTGTTAGCTCTACTTATTCCTTAACTGTACCTGTTTTATAGATTTTGAAGTAAAATATTTTGGTTCAAGTTACCAACCAATTAAATTTGCTTTTGCTTTTTCAGTCAACTTTCGGACTCGTCCTCTACTAGAAGTTCCAAAAGTCAAAGARGTGTCTTCAAACAACAGCTGCCTTTGCTCCTCTTCCGAGTCATCCTCATTATAGAAAGCTGTCCTTCGACCTTGGTTTCTAGTTCTCATGTGGGGTTCAGAGCTTTTGAGCTCTTCAAACTCTTCTTCTTCATCTATAACAGGATCATCAGTCTTTTTTCGGTTACTTCTCCTTAGCATTTTAACATTTGCAGGAACTATAAGATCTGAATCTAGTTTTTGTGTTTTCATCTTCCTTTTGGGTTTTCTGCCTCCACGACTCTTTTTCTGTAACAAATCCTCCTTAACCATATTACTTTCAGAAAGAAAATTGCATGTTGAAGAAGGAACCACTTCATCTCTGATGGGATGCATGTTATTTTGCTCTGAATTTTCTGCCTTTGCATACTGTAGCTTTTTGGGCTTTCTACCCCTTTTCTTGTGTATAATTTCACCACTATTGGTATTGACTTCTACCTTAGGTTTCCTTCCAGGTCCCCTCTTCACAAGTTTTGATGGCTGTCCTCCATGGCCATTTACTTGAATGGTTCCTGGTACAAGAGCATTGTTCTTACAATCTCCTACAAAGGAACAATAGCACATTTAATATATGGAATTGTTTTCTTTATTTGAACCTCAAACCAGTCAATAAGGTACACTTATATGTAATAACATGATCCAACAAAGAGCTAACAGCTGCAAAAGATTTTAATGGTTAGTGATAGCCTCTTGAGGGAAATAAAAGCTCAGAGCAAATAATAACTTAGATGATAGCTGGAATTAGCAAAGGTCTCTTACTTCTACTATCAGGTGTCAATATTTATAATAAATCACTATTAATGAGTATATGTACATATATTTTTGGTATTGGAAATTGAATGCAGGGGTGCTTTTCCACTGAGTTACATACCTGGTCCTTTTTATTTTGAGACAGGGTCTCACTAAATTGTTGGGGTTACAGGCATGAGCCACCATGCGCAGCTAAATATCTTAACTTCTGTACCATTCTTCCTTATACATGATTATTTGTAATACTCAAAATTTTCATATAAATCAAACTGGGAGCTCCAGTATTGCAATGCTAAAACCTAATCATTACATACATCTGATTTCTCTAGGATTCGGGACTAACATAAGCCAGGCCAATAAACCCTTTGAAATTTGGTTTAGAAAGTAATCAGATTAAAAAATGCAAACATTCACAGTCACTTGCTTATTCATTCAAACACTTATTATCCACCATATGCCAAATACAAGTTATTTAAGAATAAGTTAATTTTAAAAAAGGAGCCCATATTCTTCTGTGGAAAAAGACAAATGAAAAATAATAATTTTATCAACATGTTAAATACGACAATAGTAGTAAAGAGGATTTTCCAGAAACAAAGAAGAAAACGCTTGATTCTACCTAAAAAAAACACAGTAGGATTCCTGGAGATGATATTTCAAAACTTGAAAGGTAATAAATAGATCTTTAAAAAACTACAAGGAAAAAAGAAACTTCAAAGATGGGGGCAGGGGGAAGACAAAGATATTTAGGTAGTTTCGGATGGCTAGGACATAATTGGGAGAAATAATGTAAGGAAATCTGGAATTTGTTAAGCAAGAGCCAAGGAATGAAAAGTCTTGCTTAATAGTTGGGAAGGAAAAATTAAAATCTGATTCCATGTATTATTTGAGCAAGAAATGATTTTAATTCTGTGTATGTGCATGTGCACACATGTGCTAAAGATCAGTGATCAGAAAGATTACTTTGGATGCAATGTGGAAGGTGGATTGGGTAAGAAAGAGCTGAAAAATGAAACAGACTAGTTAGGGAACCTAAGTAGTCTAAGTAAGAAATTATGTAGGCCCGCAATAAAGTCAAAAGTGAGAATGGATTTAAACTATGCAATAGGGGCAGAAACAACAAAAACTAAAGACTACTGAATAGATATGGATGCTGAAGAGAAGGCTAGGATGACTTCCTGATTATAAGCTTATGAAAACAGGAGATCTCAATGCCATTAATCAATATGAGGACATTTCACCAATAATATTAAATTGAGTGAGGTTTCTACAAAGAAACATTGAAGAAGAAATGTCTTAGACACAGTTTGGAAGTCATGAGACAAAATGCTTATTATTGGGTTGTCTGAGGTAAGGAATATATATCGTTTTTAACATGCCATATGGTATATTGAGTTATTTTCTCCATCTTTCAAACATAAAACCTTTAGAACAAAAAAAAAATTGCACTTCAAAAAAACTCAGCAGCTTAACTATAAGGAACTAACAGTTATATATTAAACTGGAAGCCTGACTGTAGTCAACCATAATGAATTATTAGAGGTTAGTGTACTGTATTTTTTGGGCTGGGATGGGTACTAGGGATGGAACCCAGGGGCACTTAACCACTGAGCCACATCCCCAGCCCTTTTTATGTTTTATTTTGAGACAGTGTCTTGCTAAATTGCTGAGGCTGGCTTTAAATTCATGACCCTCCTGCTGCAGCCTCTCAAGCTGCTGGGATTACAAGCATGTGTCAATGTGTCCGGTGAGTATATTATATTTTATAATCTATAACAATCAAAATTTTTTTAGAAAAGTAAAGAATGTTTCAATAGGTTAACTAAATATACTTTAAACTCCGAGAATCTATTTCTTTAGATTTTGTAATATTCAGAAATATTAAAAGTCTTTTATTCTAGAATGTGTTATTATTTCCATATGTTTTAAAAAATTTAATGACAAATAGTTTGCCTTTGACATAAAACTGCAAATCAAAGGGTGTCTTACTATATTTATCAACTAATAAAGACTATAATGATTTTTAAGCAGGCAATCAAAAAGTAGATAAAAAGAATAAATCCAACCACACCAAAAAAAAAAAAAAAAAAAAAACATTTGTAAGAAAGATCTACTATACTCAAAAGGATATAAGTAACATCTTACCTTGTTCAGATGATGACTTTGAAAGAGTGGATGCCTTTGAGAGTACAGATGATTTCATTTTACGTTTGATGGGTTTTTCCCTTTCCACGTTTTCTTTTGCAGTATTATTCCTAGTGCCAGGACTAAAAGTGGATTGACCAGGACTCGAAAGAGTATTCAAGGTTTTGGAATGTTTCACAGAATTTTCTAGTACTAAAACACACAGAGAGAAGATTAAAAAAGTTTGGGACCCCGTCTAATAGATTTGCTTAAATTATTCAAAGGATCAAAACTTAAGGGATACTTAAAAATTTCCTCAGAAAATCTACATTCTCTCTCTCTCTTTTTTCCCCCAATGCTAAGGATCCAACCCAGATTCTTTTGCTTCACGTCAAATGCTCTAACTCTGAGCTACAACTCCAGTCCAAGAAACCTACTTTCTAATAAGAAAAAGGCATACCCAAGGAGACAATCTTAACAGCAGCAGCCTCTTTAGAAGCTGCAGTTCAAGATTATGAAAGCAAGCCTTGGCAAACTGCTAGCACGTCTATGTCCTAGAATTTAACTTCAGGCAGTTTGGGTCAGTTTGTTGTTATTATTGAACATTATTCTACATTGATATTCCTACACATCAATTTTCTTTTTCTTATTAAAAACTTTTTTTTAAATGGAGAAAACAATAAAGCCAGTAAAAGACAATAGCATCTGCAGGAAATTATCCAAACCCACTGCAAAGTAAAATATTCAAAAAAATCATCACACACCCTTCAATTTAGAAACTGTCTTACTTGTTTTCCCTGGCACTGCAGATGTATTAGCTTTTGGAATAAAATTCTTTGCAGCTGATGAAGTAGATGGTTGCTCAGTAGTGATAACTGGATCTATAATTACTCGGTTGCTTCTGGTTCGAACCACAGAACTGGATTCTGTTTTACCATTTATCTGAGCAGCATTATGCCTTGGTGGTACTGATCGTGTAGGTGTAGAGAATGGAGAGGTAGAGATTTCTGACTTTAACTGGGGTTTTACAATCCTTTTCTTCCTTTCAGGGCTGTAAGTAAGATCACATTGTTCATCATTCTTACAGCTCTATGAATGAATAAAATAGTTTTATAATACTGTTGGATTCAATATTTGTGCTATTATGAAATATGTTAAAATATGAGATTTGTAGTGGATTTCATATGGTTGTGAGCCTTTGAAAAGTGAATATTTAGTGAAGGATTGCCATAAATGCTACAGTTATATGACAGAAAGCATGATGCCATCACTACCCTAAAAATGCTGTTTTACTGTATAGATTTAGCAGTTTGAATTTAAGCACTTACACTAGTAAAGCTTTAGTTTAAAAGATTAAAAATCCTCCACATCATAGGAACTTGCATGTCAAATATATCATTCTGCAATATAGGGAATAGTAAAGGAAGTATTAAAAAAACACCAAATTCTATCATTTAGATGACAAAGTTATAGATTACTTAATGCCACTGAAAAGAAATTAAATACCTTGATGCGGCACTACTGGAAATAGAACTACTTCTGTTTCTTTTCTTCCTCCTCTTGGTTATAGTATTTCTTTTATGAAAACGCAGAGCAGATTTATAATCTGATAAAACTGAACTAATATGTTCTTCAAAGAAAGCAGATAGGCGCAAACTCATGCTGTAAATCTATGGGGAAAAAAAACAACCCACAACACTGTGTTCAAACACTCTGTAAGGGAAAATGCCCATTTAGTGAATTTTGTAACTTAAATATTTTTCTAGTAAATTTTATCAATATTTAAATATTGCTTTTATATTACTTTTCCAATCTTTATTGAGGTAAAGTAAACTAAAAAATTTTCACCATTAATTTTGTGTTTGTATTAGAAATTTCCCAAGATTCGAGATTCTTAAAAGTTCTACTCTGAATTCAGATGGTGCATACTGACAAAACTACTCATTATTAACTGTATCATATCAAAACCATGCCTGAGGGTTTGAATTCATTTTCCATTGCTACCTAGATTTAGCATCTACTCCTTCTCATTACACTGTCATGTATCATTCTTTGCGTATCTTTCTTTGGAAAAAGAACGGTAGATGATATTAATCATACTACTTCAAGAAAAATAGCCATTCCTAAACACCAAAGAACGATATCAGTGTTACTTCATAGAGGAACTAAGGAGTAGCAGGACACTATTAAGAACTCAACAGTCAGAATGACAGCTATTAAGAATACAAACAATAAGTGTTGGTGAGGATGTGAGGAACAAAGGACACTCAAATATTGCTGGTAGGTCTGCAATATGGTGCAGCCAGTATGGAAAGCAGTATGGAGATTCCTTGGAAAGCTGAGAATGGAACCACCATTTGACCCAGGTATYCCACTCCTCTCAGTCTATACCCAAAGGACTTAAAAACAGCTTACTACAGGGATCAGCCACATCAATGTTTATAGCAGCACAATTCATAATAGCTAAACTGTGGAACCAGCCTAGATGACCTTAAGTAGATGAATGGATAAAGAAAATGTGGTATACATACACAATGTAATATTATTTAACATTAAAAGAGAATAAAATCATGGCACTTGCTAATGTATGGAGTTGGAGAATATCATGCTAAATGAAGTTAACCAATCCCACAAAACCAAATGCCAAATGTTTTCTCTGATTTAAGGATGCTGATTCATAATGTGGTGGTGGTGTGGGGGGCATGGGAGGATTAGATGAACTCTAGAAAAGGCAAAGGGGAGGGATGGATAAGGAAGGGAAATGAGGATAGGAAAGACGGTGGAACGAGACGGACATCATTATGCTAAGTACATGTATGAAGGCACAAATGGTGTGACTCTACTAGGTGTATAACCAGAGATATGAAAAATTGTTCTCTCTATGGGTAATATGAATTGCAATGCATTCTGCTGTCATATATAACAAGTTAAAATTAAAAAAAAGAGAACACAATAGAAAGTTAATTTTACTCTATTTTTTAAAAAGGCAACATTTGGCAACTTTTCCTTTAGATAAACATAAAGCAAATAAAATTAAATACCCTTGATCTTTTGCTTGGTGTATACGCTTTGGAATTACTAAAAATAAGTCTGACATCTTTACATAACTCCATTGGTGACTCATAATTCCCAGCTTCTAAGGTTTCTCTAACAGTAGCAAAATCCATTGGAGTGTCGATGATGTCCCTGTAGTCCTAGGAGAGAGAAGACAGGCAGTATTATTATTACCACAAAGCATTATTTTCAGTACAAGGATTCATGATAAGTAGAAGCTCTAGAACTATTAATAATTGCTCTTATTTTTTTAAAAAAGCCCCAAAACATAAAATTTAAATGCTCTTGACTCACTGAAACACAACTGTTAAATTATAACTGATAAAACATAAACAATGAAAGTAAGGTAATATTCCAATGATGTGAAGGCTGAAGTTCTAATAATGTCAACTTCAGTACAATAATTGGGAGCTCTGAAGTAATCAAGAAGTATGAATGTAAATAGTTCTCACAAAGTGTGCTTGATTCCATATAGGAGTACCAAATTGCTTGAGGTGTCTATTTTCCCAATTGTAGGTAAAATAAGGCAAAAGCCTGAAAGCAATAAATGAGGCAAGTGAAAGCAGAAGAGCAACAGATAATGTTATAATCTTACACCATATGGTGATCATTATCAAAATAGGATATATTTTACAAAGGACAAAAAGCATTGCATCTTTTCAATAGCCTTGAAGATTTAACTATTTTTTTTGAAGTATAACAATTATATTTTGTACAATCAAGTTTAAAGTATGATAATATATTTGATCATAAAGTAAAGAAAGTGCAATGTAAGATGAAATTATTACCTTTATAATTTTTTTTTCCCTGTCCAACATATATGCTTATTTCCTTTTTAAAATTACACTAGCTAGTATTACCAYTACTATGTTGAACACAATAGTTAAAATGCTTTCAATCTTAAAACAGGAGAAACACAGTTTTTTACTGTTATGCACAATGTTAGCTATGGGCTTTTTTAATAGATGGTCTTTATTGCCTTGTGAATGTACCCCTTTGTTTTTAGTTTTCTTAATTTGTATCATGAAGGGTGCGACATGTTTTTAAAATAATTCGTTTTTGTCTATTTGACATCTAATTCATCACAGGATCAATTTTATTGCTATATTGCCTGTATTTTGGCATCTGGTGGCCTTATCGACCTGCGGGGGGCCCGGGGGTGGGGGGGCTCTTCCAGGGCTAGCCAATTCTTTTTTTTTGTACTGGGGACTAAACCCAGGGGTGCTTTACCAGTGAGCTATAAAAGATACTAAAGGGTAAAACTGAGAACATGCAAACCAACCTGAATATAGTGTTCCAACTACCACCTTTTCCAATTCTCAAACTTCAGATCAACATTTCTACTGCCCTTTAATTATCCTAAGGCCAAGACTAGAGACCACCTGTATACTCCAGAGCCCACAGGGCTGGGGTTATAGCTCAGTGGTAGAGCACCTCTGGCTTTAATCCCTAAGCTGTTTACTCTGACTTGCTTTGCCTTTCCCACAGAAATCCCCAACAAAAGGTTCCTAAGTTTTTTCATAGCTCTTGCCTTCTGCCACCTAACCAAAACCTGGTGTTTTCCCTGTGGTATAGGGTGACCCCTACCTTCTCTGGGACAAGGACAATAACCTTCTTCTTTCCAAGCTTGTTTTTAGTTGCTTTTATGGACATAGTGATTTTACTACACCCTATCTTAAATGTCCTTTTTTTTAGGATAAGTATGAAATTTTGTCAAATGCCTTTTCTGTTATTAATTGATATCATGTGGTTTTTCTTCTTTAGCTTGTTAAAATGACAGATTATACCGCCTGCTTCCTGAATACTGAACTAACTTTAATCTCTGGATAAATATTACTTGGTCACAGTATATAATCACTTTTTAAATTCCTGAGTTCTATTTGCTGTTATTAAGAGTTTTTGCATTTTATTCCTTTGAACTATTTTTGTCTGGTTTTGATAATACTGGAATTACAGAATGAGTTAGGACATGCTCATTCTATTTTATCTTCTGGAAGAGATTGTGAAGAATTTTATTAATTCTTCTTTAAAATATGTGGTAGAATTTTTCAGTGAAGTCATCTGGGATTAATGATTTGTTTTTGAAATTTCTGAACTGCAAGTTAAATTTCCTGCTGGATATGGTGGCACACAACTATAACTCAGGAGGCTGAAGCAGGAGGATGCCAAGTTCAAAGGCCAACCTGTCTCAAAAAATAAAAAAGGCTGGGGATGTAGTTCAGTAGAAGAGCACTTTAGGGTTCAATTCCTAGAATCACCCCCACCACCCAAAACCCAACCAACCACCAAAAAAACCCAAGTTAAACATCCTAAGCGTTATAGGGCTACTCAAAATTATTATTTTATATTGAATGAGTTGTGGTAGTTTTTAAGTATTAGTCCATTTCATCTAAGTTGTCAAATTTGTTTGTAGTAGTTTAAATGTTTCCTTTATTATCCTTTTGATATGTGCAACGTTTATGATTATATCCCCAATACTAGCAATTTGTATCTTCTCTTAGCTTCATAAATCATGTTTAGGAGAGGGAAGAAGGTCCTGTTATGTTCCCCAGGCTGGTTTAGAACTCCTGGGCTCAAGTAATCCTGATGCTTCAGCCTCCTGAGTAGGTCAAACTACAGACAGGCACATGCCACTGCACCTGATGTTAGCTTTGGAAATCTTAATAAAGGTATATCAATTTTTATTGATCTTTTCAAAGAACAAGCTTATGGTTTCATGGATATTTTTCTTTTAGTTTTTGAGTTTCACTGATTTCAGGTCCATTATTTCCCTTTTGCTTACTTTTGGTCTATTTTAATATTCTTTTTCTAGATTCTTAAAGAAGAAGCAGATTCCAGACTTCCTATGTATTCTTCAGTATACATTTAGTGCTATAAATTTTCCTGTATTGCTTTAACTGTATACCACAAATTTTGATATGTTGTATTCATTTTTATGGAGTTTCACGTAATTTTTAAAAAATTCCCTGGAGAACTGTTTTATCCATGGATTATTTAGAAGTGCTTTGTTCAGTTAGTAAGTGCTTGGAGAATTTCCTGTTAATTATTTCTAGTTTGATTTCACTGTGGTTGGAGACACASTGTACCATTTCAATGAAGTTTGTCATTTTACTTTTGTATTCTCTTTGTTCTACCTTTTTTGTCTTTTACTTTTCCCAACCTTCTTGTGTGTTACCTGAACAAGTTTTAGAATTCCCATTTTGATTTACTTCTAGTGTTTTTGCCTGTATCTCTTTGAACAGCTTTTTAAAATGGTTATTCTAGGTATTTTAAATACATTTTGGTATATATACACCAAAGACTACTGGCATCAAAATTTTACCAGTTCAAGTGAAGTAGAGAAACCTCCCCATTCCCCTATGTTCCTTTTTCTTTTCATTTATGATGTAACTGTCTTAAATATTTCTATATACACTGAGAATCATAATAGATGCTATAATTTTTAAATGTAACTTTCAAAATTATATTTAATTAAAGTAAAAGCACATTTTACCAGCTTTAGTGTAATATAGAAAATTATCTATCCCTTATTTTTTGATCTTCAAGTTCACAGATTCTTTTCTGTTTTCTCCTGTAATTATTATTTTCATTTAGTTTTTTTTAAAATATTTTTTTAGTTGTCAATGGACTTTATTTGTGGTGCTGAGAATCGAACCCAGTGCCTCACACAAGCTAGGCAAGCATTCCACCACTGAACCACAAACCCAGATCTCATTCAGTTCTGAGCTTTGTTGAGACTATTCTTTGTTTCAAGTATGATTTTTACTACTCAAATATTTTCATAATGCTACTTAATGATTGACTTTTTTCATTCAACTGGGTTAATATTGTGCTAAGTCTTGGAATAAATGATTTTTTTGTTGAAACCTGCATATTTTGGGTATAAAAATGATTCTTTTAAAAAGCCTGTATTTTAGTTGATGGCTTCCTCTGTGTGCTGCTGACAGAGGGAGGAGAGGGAATACTGCCTTGAAAGTCAGATTCTAGTGAAGAGGATTTCCTTGTTACTGCTAAGAAAGGATAGGAGCACATATTCCTTCATAGACTTCCACTGATAACACCTAGGTTGTAATGCCTTGTTACTGTTCCCTACAGGGCCTCCACCCACACTATGGGTAATGAAAGGCCTAACTATCCATTAGACCTCTATTGACACTATCATAATGAAGAAGAGGAAAGGTACCTCATTACTGCCAGAGGGGTGGAACTTTCTATTTCCCTTATAGTCTCCACTGGTATCTGAAGGAAGAAAAAAAGGTGGCCTCTCCACTAATCTTTGATAATGGGAAAGGTATAAGGGGCACAGTTATTTTTCTGTTATTTGGCTGAAGTACAGCAGTATGTATCAGTTTTCTGTATTGCTAGTCTGGTCCTTTGCTGATTCTTCTAGAGAAAAAAAGATAGAGCTAACTGAGGGACCTTTATCATCAGTGTTTATTAGCATTTTTAGGTTAATAGCTTCTCCAATATCTTGAGTGAGATATATATAATGAGAAAGCAAAACCCAGGAGAACGCACTATTCAGTTGGTCCTGAGAGCCCAGTCTATCTACTTTGTCTCCACCTTTCAGAATCTAGTTTTACATCTGATGTCTACAAATTTTTAGTACGAGGTATTAAGAAAAAGGTCTACAACATCTTCAGCAAAGTCTAACTACACTGTGTTTGACCAAATCATTCACCTATAACTGGCGAAAGACAGAAAGAAAAAAAGTGTGTATGTGGGGGCTGTTTCATCAAAATACAGGAAAGATCACTAGAGCAGACAAAGATGATTGGGGATTGAAGGGGAGGAAGAAGAGATGGAAAAAGGGCAAAAGAATGGAATGAATCTGACCAAACTTTCATATATACATACATGAATATAGCACAGTGAATTCCAACATCAAGTATATCCACAAGGCACTAATTAAAAAAAAAAAAAAAAAGCCACAAATGTATTTCAGAAAGATCAGTAGAGCCAGGGGAGTAGAGGGAGAGAGGAGATAAGTTCTGGGGACTGAGTAAGAGCAAGTTATATTCCATGCTTTTATGATTATGTCATAATGTATCCTAATGCTATATATAACTAAAAAGGATAAAAAAAAAAAAACAGATAATGAAATCAGATGATACCACATCTAGGTATGATGTCTTATAAATCAATTTATATTTTCACTTGAAATCATGCATGTTATTTGAATTATACAATCTTTAATAACTTGTTAAAGGAATAAAAATCACTAAGCTAAATTTGGATTGCTATGATGGCTTGAAAAAATAAATATTTAGATCATACATTGGCATAACTTAAAAAAAGTATATATAATATGCCACCTTACATTTGTATATAATGCTTCACTGTTTGTTTGAAAGCTATATATATATTTTTTTCTCATTTCTTCTCTATAACCGTATAACAAAGTTTCATTATTTGTTTCCTAGCTATGCTAAATTCTTGAAATTAGTGTGTGAAAGAGAAAAATTAGTAAAAATAATATACAGATGGGAGATATGTGATTTGCTCAAAGATTAAAAACTAGTAAGAGCAAAGCCAAGACTATAATACAATTCTTTAGATACTTAAAAGTCAGGGCTCTTTCCATTTTATTACACTATTTAACTTAGCTTTTCTATATAACCAAATGGATAATAAGAACATGCGTGAAATAATGAAGAAATAAATTATAGGCATATAAATAACCCGCTATTATATATAAGATATGTAGCAAACTAAAAGTGTACAGATAATATTTTCAAAAATAACTTACTGGATATTCAAGGAGATCTACTGGCTGTCTAAAAGGCTCTGAATCTTCACACTGAAATATGAGATTTAACAATTCCTGACATTGTTTCTTCCATGCTTGAATATCATAAGACTGAGCTCTATTACGTAATCTTCTTCTAGGCTGATGGTCCTGAAATGAAAATATTCAAGTATATTAATAAAACAGCACTTATACAATACAAATTGTACACCATCCCTACCACCCCATGCTGGGTATTGATCCCAGGGCCAGGGACATGCTAGGCAAGTATTTTACTACTGAGCTACATCTCCAGCCCTTTTTATTTCTGAGAAAAGATCTCCCTACATTGCCCAGACTGGCCTCAAACTTTTGATTCTCCTGCTTCAGCCTCTAGAGTATATGAAAACCTAGGCATGTTCCACATCATGTGATTTAATTTTGAATTTTTAATGAAGTCTTACATAATTAGGGACAGGTTGATTATCCCTTACTTGAAACACTTGGGTCCTGAAGTGTTTTGGATTTGGGATTAATTGCAGACTTCACTGGTTAGGCATTCCTGATCCAAAAATCTGGAAACCAAATGCTCCAAAATATGAAAGTTTTTAAGCATCCATGGAGCATTATGAGTTTTGTATTCAAATTACAAATGTTCAATTTATAACATACCATAATACAAACCACCACAACAAAAAAATCCATAGCATCCACTAGTTCTGAAAAACGTTAGGACTGATTTGAAAGTAATACTTAATCTGCCTTTAAGACTGCTAAAAAATTAATAATAAGCTCTTAATGCATTTTTAATTCTTATAAAGAACCTCTGTAAAAAACAAAAGTTAATTACCTTCCTTTTTCGGGTAGAAGTTCCTGGCACATCAGCATCTTTCTCTTCTTCCTTTGAAGCCAGAATAAATCAAATTTATAAAACATATTAGGTTTCATTACACTCAATAGTGTATTTAGAAATTATTTCCTTTATACTTTAGAAACCTCAATATATACGCTGGGGTAATTTAATGACCCATTAAAAAGTCTCCCTTTTATAACTTTAACAATAAAATACTGAATACCATTTTATTAAAAAGTTAACAATAGTACTGAGAAAACAATAATTTTCAGAACAGTTTTTACTTGAAAACTGTAATATGTATGTATGTAAATCTCTTTTTTATATAAGTAGTAATCATAATAAAATGTCACATACCTCAGAGTCGGACAAAACCTTCTTCTTCATTGAATTATAAAGTGGAATTATGTTATAACAAGTTTGATCCCTAAAAGGCAAGAAAAAGTTAATAAGTAAGACTAAAGTCATGAGTTTTTTTTCCTTTGTTCTTAAAACCAGATTTTAAGGGTAAAATTGAGGCTAAAGCATTTCTGCATTTGTTGACATGGATACCCAAGACACACACAATATACCCTGTGTCATCCTTACCCCTGGATTATTTAATTGTGTCAAACCCAATTTTTGACTGCCGAATGAATTTGCTAAGGTTGTTGCTATGCCTGGAATGCTGTCTTCCATTCCTTTGGCTTCAAGGTAAAGCTAATACACCCCATATCTTCTCATTCCTTTATTCATTCTTAAATAGAGACATTCCATAAATTTTTGTCCTTAGTCATCTTGACACCATCACCTAAAATTCATTGTTTAAACCTAATTGTCACTCCCCAATCTCTCTGTCTTTTAATTTTCTTTCTTTTTCTTTTTTTAAACAGCACACCATTCTAACAGTAATGAAAATCTTGGATTTTCACTATTTGTCCCTTGCTTTCTCAAAACCCAAAGAGCAGTCCAAACAGAATTCTATTCTCAAAAATATCTTGGCATCTATCCTTTTCTCACTTCCACAAATTATGCCCTTATCACCTTCTCTTTGGTATAAGCCAATGTGCTATTTATGCCTTTGTCTCTTTTCTATATTTTAGAAGTCTAGTTCCTCTTGTAATCCTAGAGGCTCAGGAGGCTGGGGCAGGAGGATCCTGTGCTCAAAGCCAGCCTTAGCATTTTAGCAAGCCTTCAGCAACTTAGTGAGACCCCACCTCTAAATAAAATATTTTAAAAAGGGGATGTAGCTCAGTAGTTAAGTGTCCCTCGGTTCAATCCCCAGCACTAAAATAAATACTTTAAAAAAAAGTAAATAAAAGTCTTGTTCCTCAGGTTGGCACTTAATGCCTACCATGCTGTCCCCAACTTAGCACTATATTCCTACAAGTTCTACTCCTATACTGTSTACTTCACCAACTAATATTCCTCTTAATAATGCTTTACTTTCCTACCTTAGGCTACTGCTTAACCCTGGAATGGCTTTTCTTTTCATGTAATTTATCCTGAATACATCAGTATCTACCTTGTTCATAACATCTTCTTAAATACTTCTGTGTATTTGAATCTCCACTTTCAAAACTAGAAGTGACCTGTCCTCATGTAAACTTTCACACAATTCTTTTGTTATTTATCGCAGTATTCCTTATGTTATTTCAACTTCATGTTTACTGGCCTATGAAACTGTATTAAAAGGGTAAAAATATGATTATTTCTTTCTCCAAGTTTGTATACATTGAGAGCATGAAATTTTGCCAAGTAACTCAATTAAAAAATACCATGATCAAAATTTCAAAGAATAATTTACATTTTCAAAATTACTGTCAGCTAAAAATGTTTTTTAACAAATTAAACATGTACCAGGTATTTATTTTTTAAATACATATATATAAATGCTTGAAATATTACCTTAATTTGCATTTTCAAAATCTGAAAGAAATGCATTTTCCGACTATTTAAAATGTAAAAACAATTTTCATCTAAATTACTTCACTGAGACATGAATATTTTATATCATGTGATTCTGTGAATTCATCTCTGAAAAGAGATGTATATACATATGCTTATAACACTTTTAAAATTACAAAGAGTTCTTAACTAATGTTTGATTACTAAATTCACTGAAAAAGAGCAAAAGCATAGCAATAAAGTCCCTAAAACCATCTGGAAAGGAAGAGTTCTTAGAGAATAATGTAGAGGAAGGACACAGAGTTTATCTTGCTAATTGTTGTTGTTTTGTTTTTCCCTTATACCTACCTGCATTTCTTAGCAAAAAAAACACAACACACAAAACAAATATTCCCAGGAAAAAAGATCCTAAGATTACGTTAAAAAAAGAGAATGAAGCTGGAAAAAGTTAAGGAAAAAAGCCTGAATAATCCCCTTACATAAAAGTGGAAGCTGATAATACCTGAATTAAGGTATTTAAATACACTGTTACCTCTTCTTAACCTAAGGGAGGAGGGGGAAATCTAATATAATATATATTAATATAAATAGTAAATTCAATAGAAAATTAGAACAATCTTTTTGCACAGAAACATGATTCATGTCTCTGGCTTCAATTTAGAAGGCTCAATTCATTTTATGGCTATATAAAATCCACAAAATAAGGAAGGAAAGGTACTTTTGCCTTAAACTATACTTATCACTCTTGCTATAGAATCAATACACAAGGAAATAAACCTAATTGAGGAAAAAGACTTTTGAAAATTCAGTATCTGACTGGATTACCTAAATACCTGTTAATAATCTTGTATATATATGGGCTGGGGATGTGGCTCAAGCGGTAACACGCTCGCCTGGCATGTGTGGGGCACTGGGTTCCATCCTCAGCACCACATAAAAATAAAGATGTTGTGTCCACTGAAAACTGAAAAATAAGTATTAAAAAATTTCTCTCTCTCTCATCTCTATATATTAAAAAAATCTTGTATATGTTACCTCCAATTAGTTCACTCAATCAAAAATTTTAGCTAATGATCTTTACCACCTGTAAGATTGAGAAAGTTAATGAAGATAAAAAATTACATGGTTAGTTGATTTTTATTACTATCCAATGAACTGAGAAATGAGAAAAGGATCAATGTTTTTTTTTTAAGTACAGAATACAAATGTAATGCTTTGCTTTTTTTTTTTTTTTTTTAGTGAGAGAGGAGAGAGAGAGAATTTTTAATATTTATTTTTTAGTTCTTGGCGGACATCTTTGTTGGTATGTGGTGCTGAGGATCGAACCCAGGCCGCACGCATGCCAGGCGAGCACGCTACCGCTTGAGCCACATCCCCAGCCCAAATGTAATGCATTTTTATGATTTTATGACTAAATGTTTTTAGTGCACTTCCTTTACATTACAAATTTTTTTCTTAGTACACAGGCTTTGTATTTTGAGAAACTATATGTGACAGCATTATACGTGTAGAAAATTATTGTATTTTACAGTCTGACATTTTACATTTTAAAAGCCATTAATCATAGCTATTATAATTAAATATGAATAAGTAACTCACTTTACAAAATGTAGAAGAAGATCAGTCACAAATTTGGCAGATTTCACAATTGGGCTTCCCGGCTCATTAAATGTTCGTGTGTTATGCTCTATATATCGAACTTCCCACATCAGGGAAGAAACACGCCTTTAAAAAAACAAAATATGTGTCTTAACCTCATATTTAGAAATATGTATACACAATTTAAAACTAAGACATTCTAACTTCTGAATTTCAGTCTTAATCCAATTACATCATTCACACCTTAAATAGCTATTTTCAAAAAGCACAATCCCATTTGTTTTAGAGGACAAAAAAGAGGAGTGACATTATCTATAAAGAAAATGTCTAGAACTGGACACTAGACTATTAACAATGCCTACTTTTCAGCGGGGGAAATGTCTGTAGGGGAAAAGGTAGGAATAGAGTCAAAAAAACAAGTTCTTAGTTTTTGCTTTACATATTTCTGTCATGTACCTTTAAAATAAATAAATAAATAAATAAATAAATAAATAAATACCTCTAACTTGTATATATAAAAGGAAACAATCTTAATCTAATTATAGAGCTAGTAATCAAATGACATGTAAAAACTAGAAGGTAATCTCTGCTTAAGAGATAAAACACATAAAAACATGAGTGTGTTACAAGAAAACTGAGAATTATTTTCTAAACGTTCTATTGACAATGCTAAATTGTTCTGGTGCTTTGTAATTTTATTTCTGAAAGTAAAGAAAAAAAATCAACCTCTGAGAATATCATCCAATTGTGGCCTGAATTAATAAAGAATACATTTAAAAAGTTACAYATAATTGTGGATATAGAAGCATATAGAGAAAATGTACATTTCAAGTTGATTCACAAGGCTCATTCTAATAAAAGAATCATAGACATCTTCAGTGTACCACATAGAAAACTGTAAAATAGGGCACTAGATTATTACTAGCAGGGTAAACTACTATTACTAGTAGTTTCACAGACACTGAAAAAATCAGAAAAGAAAAACACAAAGTTTAAGAAGAGGGGAAAAAATTTTAAGGTGTGAAATACAACATGAAGGCATCACTATATTACATATGAACACAACTCAAGTTTACAACTATATTATCAGGTTAAAAAATAGGTGATTTCTAATTTATATATGTATCAAGTTTCAAACTGGCTAATGCAAAAAAAAGTCTATGTAAGCTATAATGTACATTGAAATAATTAAGTACACTTTTTTCTATGAGAAAGAACATAACAGCAATAGTCAGAGATGTCAGCTCCTTATCTTTCCAGCTGTAGTCCAACCACCAGTGTATATGAATATTTCTATCTCTCCCTCTAATCTTCCCATGTCTTGTTCCAATTTCTGAAGTACTAAGTATAAATCTTAACCTTTAGTAATTTAGTTCTGGGAACACAGTTATAAATTTATTCTTCATGTTTTATCTTAAACTTCTACGAGATATTGAAAAATGCTTAGAGTAGATGACTGAGTGAAACATATCATGGGGGTCACAGGAGATTTCCTTTTCATCTCTTGCTTTTGACAAATCATCAATGATTCAATAGCAAGCACACACAGCAAGATCAGAAAAATCTTTTAAACCTAAAGTCTATCATCTTAGTTTTCTTTACTGCAATGGTTCTCAACCAGGAGTGCCTCACCCACCAGAATACATTTGGTAATGTCTAGATTCATTTTAGATTTATATTAAGAAAATGAGCATGAAGTCATATCACATCTAGAAAAAATTGTATCCAGGAATCACATTCAACTAAACAAGCAGAATCAAGATTATAGTCAACTTGCTAGAAATTTATAATATCATATCCTATTCCAAATCTACTAAATCAGATCCTTTCAACATGTTCCCCAGGTGATATATATGTACATTTGTAAACATAAAAAGTTAAGAACAAAGCTGTAGAAGACTGGCCAAAGAGTGAAAGAATGAATCATTTAGCTTCCTTTTGGTAGTATCCACAAATGATTCTAACCTGTAAAACCTGTTTTCCAGTCTTTGTTTAATTGTACTTAGATCCGTTGGATATGCCACTACAGTGCAGTACATGGGATAAGCTTGCAGATCCACAGGGGCCACAAATGCTGAAGCAATATCTAAAATAAATAAATTTTAAAATTTATTTTTTTATGTTCAAAATAATTCAAAAAGAATTCTGCTAGAATTTTAGACTAAGTCCTAATTCACACAGACATCAGTCTGGCATTATCTTTTCATTAAAATTACATAATTTAACTGACATAAAGAGTGTCATTTTTTACTAAACCTACATTAACATTGTTAAAATTCTGGGGATTTCTTTTTTTATCCATAGACAAATTAAGGCAAATATCCTAATAAATTTATAAAAAATTCCTAAAACTGACTTATTCAAAACACACACATATTTCTTCAATAGCCAGTCATCCTGAATCTGTATATTTGATAAAGCCATTCTATCATTAGCATGTTGCATTTGAACATGACCTTTCTCAAACCTTACCACTTTATCTCATTCTTACATTATTCTGTGAAATATTAGGTAATGAGAGAGAAGGAAACAGATTCAGAAGTTTTTGACTCAATATAACTGATTGAAAGGCACAAAGTAAACTGGTAGAGCAAAAACCAGATATAGTTAAAACTACTCTCTATATTATTTTATTCATTCACATATAAAACTACTTCTTACGACAGTATTTGTAGGGCCACTTTTACAAAACTGTTGCCATTTTGCAAGGGCTGAGGATATAACTCAGTGATAGAGYATTTGCCTAGCATGTACAAGGCCCTGGGTTTGATTTCACAGCACCTCAAAAAACAAAAGCCTTCAGATTTGAATATCCTACAATCTGTGTTCCCATTATCTTCAACTCTTTTTACTCATGTCTTTAAACTTTTTGAAGCTGATTACTCACTGCCAGAATGGGTTGATATAAGCCACCATACTAGCTGAGTTACTTTGGAAGCCGAGTCTAGATAATCAAATTTTGTAGTTATTGCTTATTTTTTTAAAACAATACAGTTCAGTTCATACTCCTTCTCTCCCCTTAAAAAGATTCTCTTATGTTTGATTAATATAGTTGGGGGGAAACTGGTACAACTGTTTATATATTTAAAATCTAGCTTCTTATACTCCTCCAGTTTACATGTCGGCTTGAATATGCCAAGGCTCTTCAAATTGGATTGTGGAGGATCCAGATTTTTCAGATACTTCTGGCATTTATAAAAGGCCTTTATTCTGAAATTCAGGTGAGAAATGTGATTTATATCTGTTTTACATACTTAAATCTTGCATTAAGATCTCATTCAAGAAAAGATTCCTATTAGAAATGCTTGAAAAGCACTGTAGAATTTATTTATTTTTTGTTGGCACAGTATTTTTACTGTAGTTTGCTTCCTGCTCTCCTGCATCCCCGCCTCATCTTCTATACTTCTGTTGTGGATAGTTACCTAGTGTCATCAACTGGTTTATTCCTGCAACAATTCTTTCACATTCTTCATCCCTGGTATTGGTACCCCATTCTCCATCAAGAGGTTTATAGATTAATGATCTGCATTCAACATCAGTTAAGGGAACACTGGTACCTAGTTCTTCCGGAAATACAGCTGAAAAATAGAAAAATAGATAGGTGAAAATTTGGCAATTAGTGTTTAGATTACGTTTAGAAAGTAAATTTAATGATGTCACAAAATTAAAGTCTAATTTTATAAAGATTTGGTAAATATATTCTTCATTTTCGTAAAGGAAAATATATTTCAAGGGTCAATAAAATTTAAATTATTTTAAAAAGGATCCTAAATTTATAAATTATTTTCTAAATGATCATGATTATTCCTCCAAAATTATACCTGAAAACTTGCTCTGTACTCTAGTTACAGGTAAGAGAAAACAGTTCTATAAAAAGATGCAAATTTCAAAGTTTTCTAAATCATTTCATAATTGCTACATTTAGTTTAATAAACCACACTTGAGGTGAAACTAAAGAAAACATTTCTCAAAAATACTTCAATCAAAGCCTCAAATTTTCTAATGTAGAAACAGAATTGTGAATACTAATAGATAATCCTTGTGTGTGTGTATTTTTTTTGCTCTGAAGTGATAAAAGTAAGCTTTTCACATGTCTAAAGCTTTAACATTTTAGCTAAGGAAATCATTAGAGAGTGGTGATGACAAAAATCTACAAATATGCCAGGTAATAATTCCTTTGGACTAGACTTCATCTGGGAAATATGCCAATGTTTGTGTATAAAACTCTTCTTCCTTGCACTGTAACTAAACTCTTTCTGAACACAAATATAACAAAAACATCCCACCAACACCACACAGAGATATATTTATATATGAAGAGTTTAATAAATCAGTGTCACTAATTCATTTATAAATAGCTAAGGTATTACAACACCTGTTTCACTACTCTCATATTAGCTCTATTATTGAACTCAATATAGTCCAATGTGACTTCAAATTCAAACTTTCATTAGGGAAGAGGGACAAAACCAGATGAGACATGTAATGTTTACAAGTTGGTTTTCTGTAGTTTTAAAGGGCTCTAATAACAGACTAAGTTAACTTCTCCAAGAGTTCTATCTTTTCTGACTTTTTAGAGTAACAATAACAACTAAGCGATTCCATTTGTAAATGATTATTTCTACTATATTACAAATCAGACATTTTATTCTTTTTTAAAGATCTTAATTTTTATCTGATAGCAAAAATAACACATTATTAACAACTCAAATAATGTGGAATGTAAAAGATAATGTATGAAGTCCCCCTAATTCCACTTTCTATAAAATAATCATTAGTAATCTGCCTTTCATCCCTTTTAGGCATATTTAATTGTATGTGTGGTTATTTTTTAAAAATTGAAACAAAACAGGTAATAAGATAAAAGGAAAATGTAATCTCCATGCTTCAGCCATACCCACCTTTTCTCAGTACAAGGAAGATGTCATACTCACTGCCTAGGGCTAACTCCCAAATCCTGAGTGTGTCAGACAATATGCAAGATGATGGTTATTATTAATTACAACTACCTCTTCATTGAGCTCTTACATGTGTCAGGCTCTATAATAAGCACTTTATACACATGATGCCATTTAATCCTCAAAGCAGCCCTATAAGAAAGGTATTTGTTTAAATAATCAAAGGCTGAGTCCTAAGAAACTGAGGCTTTAAGTCTATGGAACTTGCCAAAATCACATAGAAAAATGGCAGTGTGAGGATATGAATCTATATCTGACTCAAAAGCATGACCTTTTAACTATTATGTTATACTTTTAAGTATTCTGCTGGAGTTACAAAAAATGTCCCTAAAATACTCATTTTTAGGAATGAATAATACAACAAATATTTGCTGAATTAATGTTTCCTGTTAAATCTTCACAACAACCTTATGTGGTAGTGAGTTAACAAACCACATTTCTTAAATAAGAAATCAACTCCATAAGGTTGATGCATAAAGTCTAACATATACTTACCATTATTAGGTATAAGCTCCATATCCCAAGGACTCATCTTTTCTGTATCTCCATTGTCCCAGCTTTAAGAAAGGAAAATTTTTAAATTAAAAACAATCTACAATTTTTATAAATAACATAATTCCTTCAGTGTTTGCAAGAAATATATCCCTTTCTTGATAAATGGAGAAATATTTCAAAGCAAGACTGGCCTAATAAAAAAAAAATACAAGCATTTCCTTACCAAACATTATAGCACTGAAACAAACTATCAGGGTACTCAGGCTGAAGAGGTTCCTGGCTTTCAATTGTTCCAAACCACCAAGCATCATCTATGACTGATCTGAAACGGTCACCTGGACAAGAAAAGAGGCTGTCTCATTACTCTGAAATGTATGTTTGCTGTGGTTAATTGTGTTTTCCTAAGGTATAACTCTAAGGCACTGAAACTGCAACATAGAAAGTGACCCACTTAATTCAAAAATGAGTTAAATCGGTAACACTGTAGGGGGAGAGATATTTAATATGCATACTTATCATTTTATAAACAGTGTTCTTGACACCATAAGCTTTCCGGTAAAGGTAATTATGAGTTTTACAGACCTATTTACAAGCCTACACAGACTGATGACATTAGGTTAAAGAAGAAGAATTGGAAAATACAAGCTTAACCATAATGAACAGTATCTGTAGACTTAATAATAAAGCAAAAAAATGAAGTTTCTCAAAGTAAGCCTTAAAACATTTCTGAGGAAAAGAGGAGTGGTGATGCATGCCTGTAATCCCAGAAGCTCAGGAGGCCGAGGCAGGAAGATCAAGAGTTCAAAGCCAGCCTCAGCAAAATTGAAGTGCTAACAATTCAGTGAGACCCTATCTCAAAATAAATTACAAAAAAAGGCTGGGGATGTGGCTCAGTGATTGAGTGCCCCTGAGTTCAAACCCCTGTAATCTCCCCCCAAACTGAAAAAAAAAAATTCCTGAGGAAAGGCTAAAGTAAAAATAATAATAATTATTATTTTTGGTACTGGGGATTGAACCCAGGGGCATTCTACCATTGAGCCACACCCTCACTCCTTTTTATTTTTTAAGACAGGGTCTCACTGAATTGCTGAGGCTGGCCCTCAACTTTCAATCCTTTTGCCTCAGCCCCAGCCTTCCAAACCAATAGGATTATAGTTGTGCGCCACAGCACATGRCTCATTCTATTTTTTAAAGCTAAGTTTACCAAGACCAATAAACGATAAATCACCATGCCAATGTCTTCCAATGACACTGGAGAAAAGATAACTAATATATCAATTGATGGGCTTTGCTAAACCATACGTACCATCTTCATACCAGACTGCACTCCAAGATGAAAATGGCTTTATCTCAAATTCTCAAGAACAACTACTTAATTCATAGCAAACATTTGTACATAAACTAACAAAACTTAAATGCCTGGAAATATTTATAATTTCAAGGTTTCTTTGAAACGTGTTTACAACATTATTTTTAAATATTACTTTTAAAAATTATAACAGAAATAACAACAATAAATAATAAAGTCAGTTTAGTATTAATCTCAATCCAAATTATCACTTATTTTGTCAAGACTTCTTCTGATATCAAATATGAATTGTTATTAATATTTTTGGATAAATATTTAATTCAACATGTAAAAAGGCTGAAAAAAAATTATAAAGAATCTTATAAACAGTTACCAAATGTAGGAGATACAATGGTTTGAAACTTAAGCATCAACTAAAGTATTTTCAATTTAAACAAAACTTAAAAATACTTCTAATACATATCATACTTTGTTATTAACATTATTATTAATGGCAAAATATCTTTTTCTAAATTATGAAAAAGAATAAATCAATTGTTGGGTTGAAAAAAAGACATATCAAACATCCATGACTTCTGAATATATTACCCACCTATGTTCCACCGCCTATATTTGGCATCATCAAATTGTTGTCTCAAGACTAGGAAATCTATAACATCAGGCATATCATGGTATCTAAGCACAAATAGAAATGAATTGATTAGATCATACTTTAGGAAGAAATATTCAAAACATGTTTAAATTTATCTGAATCTTGAAAAACAATCTATAATACTAAGAAACCACTGGTTATTTCAATAGTCCTTACTTCATGGTAAACGATCCACCAGTCAGTTTACCAGTATCAGGATCCAGAAAAGCAAGTTTAAGGCAGCAAAGGGTAGGTAATCCCACTTCATATTTTATGCCAACTATTTTCATCAGTTCTTGTTCCTAAGATATAGAAAATAAGAAATCACATTTACAAAATAAACCACAAAACAGATTGCTAAACATAACTAAGAAAAATTTCTTGGTTTTAATATTCGTCTGCATGGTAATTACTCTGTGCACATGTAAAAATTAATTGAGCTATGTATTTAAGATGTGCACTTTATGGTTTACAGGTTGTACTGCAATTTTTAAAAAAGTATAATASTTTTCCAATATAATTTCAAAGAATGCAAGATAATTTTGAACTACTGCTGATAAAATCCAGATGACAAAATAAAGTCTACCTTAAACACTAGTGTTATCTAATTTTCAGTATGATCAAATTTTGTACGCAATTTATAAAGTTTATCAGTGAATATAAACTCAATCTTGAGTTTCTTTGACTGAAAAATCAAACCCTTTTAATCTCCAAAACCACTTCAATTAAACAAGGGAACTTCATGATTCAGTTTCTTATAGTGAAAATAGTAACCCTTAATACATTTTTTTCCATGACCCCTAAATAAATCTTTATAGTTACATAATAAATACCATACCCGTAGTTCCATTTTATGCCATGGTTGTTTTTTAGGATTGATACTATAAATTTTATTTTTCCGGGCCATTTCAACATATGCTTCATGTCCTTGTCGGAAATAATAAACCTAAAAAGTAGATAAAAGCCACAATTTAAAAATCTGGATGTTTCCAAGAATGTAAGATATCAACTAAAATTGCAGAGAAAATCTCATGTCTTCTGAACTAATAGAAATTCTGATACTGGCTTTCCCCCCTCAATTCCTTAAATTGTCTCAGCATCACTTAATCATAACCAAAGTGTTCTAAATAACATTAGTATACACTTAGAAATTTAAGATGGGGCATTTTTTTTATTTCATCATTTATTAGGTTCAAAATAAGTTAATTTCTCTTGCAAAATAAAGTCACTTGTAACCAGTAATCATAATAAATTCATGTTCACCTACTTTTTTCTTACATTTTAGCAGATAGTAAGACAGTGCAGCATATGTTTATTCTCATTTCATAAAGATCAAGTTTAGGTGACGTCTAACAACTGTCAATTACTTGAACACAGTAGTTTGACACCAAGTATTATTCTCAGTACTACAAATTTAAAAAGCTTGTTGAAAAATGCTATTAAGATCTTAGTAATACTTTGGAATAGCCACTTTTCCTATTACTTTCATTCTCTTCATTACTAATTCAGTTGTCTGCAACTTCAAATGCAGGAATGGAGCTGAATAAAAAGGATTTAAGTATTCAAACACCAGCACCCAAAAATAAAATGGAAACAATTTCAAAGGAAATCATTTAATCAGGAATTACAAACTTTCTGACAATCTTGAAATACCATAGTAAATGTATTTAGTCTCTCCTTAATGCTGTAGGATCTGTAAGACCAATCATTATATTTCACCTATACCATAACAGTGTGGTAATGCTCCAAGTTCCTCAAATCTTCTGATGCAAACAGCAGCTCTAAAAAAAATTATTCTATACTTTCCTTTAGAGTCACTCTTGTATTAAAAGTTTGTTTTCCTTGTTTAACTGTCAGTTACCACTTCAGTACAAATTTAGAGTGCTTTACGAAAGCAGCTTTTTTCAGTTTTTATTACTGTTACTCATGTTAACAGACACCAGATAACACTATGTCTGGGTATAAAATAAGGAAATATGACCCTGGGTGAGAACTTATGATCTAAATCCTTACATTTTCATTCTAAATTTATAAGTATACAGGCTAAAATGGGAGTGCCAGTTTTTATCTTTGGTCCTGGGAACTGAACCCAGAGGGGTTCAACTACTGAGCCACATTCCCAGCCCCTTTTTGAGACAGGGTCTCATTAAGTTGCTGGGGCTGGCTTTGAAAATGTGAGCCTCCCAAGACACTGAGATTACAGGCTAGGGACACCATGCCCAGCAAGAGGTAACAATCAAATAGAGAGTTGAAGTATAGTTCAGTTGTAAGGCCCTTGCCTAACTGATATGCAGCCTTGAGTTTGATCCCAACTCTGCCAAAGATAAAAATTTAAATAAAATAAATAATAGTTCTTATTCTAAGACCATAGATTTTAGAAACAAATATGAACATATGGGTAAATGAAATATTTTGAAATAAAATTATATGCAAAAAAGCTAAATTTTATTGTAACATGCTATATAATTTTTAAATTAAGAGAAACAWATATATTAATATATTTAATATATTCCTTTAGGAAAAAAAAAATATTTGTTTTGAAAGAAAAAAAAAGCATTACTTGTGACTGAACCCAGAAGGACTTTACCACTGAGCTACATCCCCAACCTTTTTTTTTTTTTTGGAGACAAGGTCTTGCTAAATTGTCCAGGTTGGCCTTGAACTTGTGATCCTCCTGCTTTAGCCTCCTGAGTTGCTGGTATTACAGGCACGTGCCACCACAACTGGCAATAAATGTCAACAAAGCTTCCTTTCTCTTATAATATTTAGATGATTAAAAATTTATAGCAGTCTTAAAAAAGATTGTTAACCCTTTCCTCCTAAATGTACTTTCTCCATACACAGCTGTGAATGAGTTATTTGTATAAACCTGTTGTAATCTTCTATAGTTGTGTTTCGAGAACTATAAAATATTCCAGGTTATTACTCAAACAAACAAGCAAAACAAAAAACAAAGAATAATTAAAAAGTTTAAAAGTACCTCATCACCCATCTGTGGCACAAATGGACATCTTCGGGGAATAGTATCTGTAATCCATGTTGATGGTAACCATTCTTCTAATGTCAAACCATTTTCAGTTAGTTCTCCCACAGCCAATCTCTAAATTTGGAACATTATAAAGTAATATTATCCAAACAAACACAATAGAGATCATTAAAGAAAAGGACTTTCGTACACAAATTGTTTTCTTTAAACATTAAAAATCTTACTCTAGAAAAAATGGTGGCATCAGCAACAATTATTCAATTAATCCAAATCATTGACAAAAACTAGACAGCAAAACCAAAATCTATAGACAACATTCATATAAGACATCCCCACAAACCCTGAAGTGTAAGCTCTGTGTTAGTTTCCTCCCTTTAAAAATACTATCAGTCTTGGGATGGGGTTGTAACTCAGTGGTAGAGCACTTGCCCTGCATGTGTGAGGCACTGGGTTCAATTCTAAGGACCGCATATAAATAAATGAATAAAATAAAGGTCCATCAACAACTTAAAATTTTTTTAAAAAGTATCAGTTTTACAAACACTACTTATAACAAATTATGACATAATTTGAATTTTAAAAAATCCTATTTTTAGTGTTAGAAATAATAAGATATTCTCATATGGGTTAAGTATTCCTATAAGATACAGAAAGCTAATTGTTTCCATGTGCTTGACATTATACTTCTAAATAGCCCGAGGATGTTCCTCTCCCCTTCTTTTGCCCTTTTTTTTTTTGTTTTTCGGTATTGGGGGGGGGGGCGGTGGTCAAACCCCAGAGCCTCACACATCCTAGGTAAGTGCTCTGCCACTGAGTTATACTGAGTTGTAAGCCCTCCTCTCCTTTTCTTAAATAGCAATTTCATTCTTGGCTCATGTTAAGCTCCTTCCAAAAAAGAAAATCAGAGTTCCCCTGGCCCCAAATGAAATGTTGTTAAGCCATGTCCCTTACTTTTTAACTTTGATGGATAAAAGTAACACTATGCCTCTGAAAAAAGGGTTTTTGAAAAACTTTGCTGAACACCTATAAGCAGCCTTAACAGTCTTGTTATTGCTTCCTTAGACTTAGTAAAAATGGAAAAAGAACCTTTGAAACCTACTATTATAACTAAAGAAACTTTATGCAACTGATTTAAATTGTTGTGGTTCAGTGTATATGCTCTAAGACTTCTAAATTTCATTCTGTTGAGTTTTTTTTTTTTTTTAACAAAGTAGTTACCACTATGAGTTAATGGAATGTTTACTGAAAGAAGCAATACCACAGATTATGATTATGAACACTACTGGCAGCAGGTAATTTTTTTAACTTTTTTCCTCCCAAGTAACTGGGAACTTAGTGTACATCACCATGCCCAGACTGCCAGATACTACTATAATTGTTTCCCATTACACATTTTCCTTTTTTTATTAATCACACTATCATGATTCTCAAACACATCAGGAGCATTCTCATCTTGGAGAATAAAGGAGAAGTAAAGGTCTTTCAAACTTCCTATATGGGAGATGAGTACATTGGAGAATTGTAGGTAGAGAATTTTAGGTAGAAGAGCAGAACTATGTACTCAGGGATTGTAACTATGTACAACAGGGATTGGCAAGTCATGGTCCACAGACCAAATTCAGTTTGCCAACTGTTTTTATAAATCAAGCTTTATCAGAATACAGCTGTACCCATTCATTCATGTATTATTTATGGCTGCTATAAGTCTATAAAGGTGAAGTACCTGGCCTTATATGGAAAAGTTTATCATCCCCTGCTTTAGAGACTAGACCTAGAAAAAAAGGGGGTAGAAGCAGAAAAACAGATGGGAGGCTATTGTAGTAACACAATAGTTCATGGAGGCTTGCATCAGTGTAATAACAGTGGAAGTGGTACAAAACAGTTAAATACTGAATAAATTTAGAAGACAGGGCCAGATTAATTCCCTGATAGAATGGATGTTGAACATAATAGGAAAAAAAAAAAAGGAATTAAGGATAACTTCAGAAATCTTGGAATAAAAAAACTCAAAAGACAGGAGTTGTCATCAGTGTGATGGTGGAATAGAGCATATTTGAGAAGAAAGCTTGGAAAGTTTTGCATATACTAGATTTGAGATACATTATTAAGTCAAATAATATCCAAATAGTTATATGATTTGTGAACAGTTATCAAGTAGTCACTCTGTTATTCACTAAGTATATTACAGTTAGACCCTATTATGGTTTGGATCTTAAATGTTCCCTAAAGGCATATGTGTTGAAGACTTTAATGCCGGTGTGGTGTGCTAAAATTGAGTATTTCTCAAATTTTCCAGCTTCATGATTTGAAATTTTCTTACTTGGGGAGGTATAGTTAACCGATTCCTTATCTTCTTCACTAAGCCCAACTCAAATCTTTTTTATTCTAGGAGATCTTCTCTGAAACCCTAACATTAAGATGTTCCCATTTGGGCTGGGATTGTGGCTCAGGTGACAGAGCACTTGCCTCACATGTATGAGGCACTGGGTTGTTCGATCCTCAGCACCACATAAAAATTAATAAATAAATCTATAACAAAAAAATTAAAACCTTGTTTTTTTTTAAAGAAACATGCTCCCATTCAATTTTTGAGTTATCTCTATAATAAATCTCTCAATGAAATATATTACTAGATCACATAACATTTCCTCTATTTTTATCTTAGGGCACTGAAGCATCTTGTTAGGCCACATAATTTTTGGAATAAACACTATGTTTTACATTTCCTTTTAAATCATATTATTTTATAAACTGTAATAAATATTTATTGACTTAATATACAGAGCTCCAAATGACATGAGAAATAGATGTATATATGTTATGTGAGTATATCACCTAAGATATGTTTACTACATCTCTGAAGAATTTTACTTTTAATTATTATTTTCTATTACCCCTCCCTTTTTTGCTTAATTATAAAAGAATTAGCCTTATTGGAAAATATTTTTGTTTGTTCACACATGTAATAACATTACTTCTTAACTCTGTAATTCTGCATAAGGGAAATACTAAGCCAGGCCTGGTGGCACACACCTATAATCCCAACTAGTTATAGAGGCTGATAGGATTGCCAATTCAAGCCTAGTTTTGGCAACATAGCAAGACTCCACCTCAAAAGTAAATATGTAAAAATAAACAGAAATACCATTGTGTTATTTAAGTTAAAGATTAAGTAATAAAATAGTTCCATCTATTGCGGATGTACTGGTAGACATGTGAACAAAAATTCAAACTCAAGACAATAAGCTATAGCATCTTAACCTTAATAAAGTGTGTTCCATGCACAGCTCCTGTCATGATACTTTGCCACAGCAAAACAGTGAAATGAAAATATGCCAAACAGTAAACAGAAGATTCAAATGTGACCATGCATGAAGGAAACCACAATATTAGTTTGTGGATAACTATCAAACTAAGAAAGACCAGCTAATGCAACCTGTGCTCTTGGGACCAAAGAATTACATTCTTTCTGTGATATATTACTGGCAGATCTCAAAAGTTCATCAAAACTGATGAAAAAGATTATTTACCTTATTAGGCAGACACATGGCTAAATCAATTTCATTAACCAATCTATCACATAAAACAACCACTCAGAATATATTTATCATCACTCACAAATACAAAACMAACCAACCAACCAACAAACCTATGGGCAAATGTGGCATTCTCTTCAGTAAAGATTGCCCAAACAAAGAACAAAGAAAGTGACAAAAATAGTAGCTATGGAATCCAGATTAAAGTAATTCATAATTATAAAGCTGAAATAAACACAAACTCAACCAAATATGATTCCCTATTATAGTATTTTAGAGAGTAGACAACATGGCCCTCATACTACATGTACATTGAAGCAAAAATTAAAACAGTCACTATATTCATTCCCTGGTTAGAAAATTTCAACTCCATAAGAGCAGATAATTTTTTTTCCATAATACTTTTTTTTTTTTTTTTACTTTCTTTGCTCTCTCTCAAATTATCCACCGACTTAACAAATCAATACTACTCTCACCTGAGGATGAAAAAATTATGGCTCACACACTAGGTAAGTTAATGAAGACTTGTTACAACAAGCCTATTTTAAAAATTCAGCATTGAATTCATATTTGCTTTGTGGTCAACTATAACAAGTTTTGTTTTTTATTATGTGATGTTTTCCCTAGAATTTGTTTATTTTTAGCAAGAACAATTAGAGTGGTTAAACATGAATTCAATTAAGTAGAAATATACTTTGTTTTGGAGCAACTGTTTTTTACAAAAATATATAAATAAGTCCCATCAGATTATCAAGAAAAAAGTCTGTTCCTGTATTAAAATTAAATGCTCAATATTTACTTATATTTGTGAGTAAACCCTATTACATGTTAAACATCTAAAAACTTGTGTAACCTAGATGTATTTTGGTATACTTTATACATCTGAGTATTTTCTATTATTACTTGCTAACAGAAATCATTAAGGTTAATGATATTTAAGTTCAACTACGCTTTAAAAATGCATACTTTAAGTCATTTTCATAAAGGAATACACAAATTTACAATTTCTAAAAATCAACCTTTTGTTTTCTTTCTTTGGGTTTCTTTTTCTTTGGTGATGTTGCTCCATCTTTTTCTTCATTTACTTTTTTCTTTTCCTTTTTAATATGTTTTTGCTTCTGTTTTTCTGATTCCTCTTCATCATCTGAACTGCTTTCTGCTTTCTTGGTTTTATGCTTGGGAACTTTCTTTGGTGGTTGTAAATTAATTCCTGCATCTGCTGTCCAGTCAGAATAATCACTGGAGTAGTCACTAAGAAAAAAGAAGGGATTTCCAAAATATAAACAGAGCATATAGTTTAAGACTTTGCTTAATAAAAAGGGGAAGATTATAACAGAAAAAGGAATAACAGAATAGTACATACTTAAAGATCTAAAATATTTTCTTAATTTTCAAATTATCTTCAAAATTTCTTTACTTTGCATGTGAAGAAATGATATTTCATGTAGGTAAGATTATTCTACCTCCCTACATCTTAGGAACATCTTATGCTTCAAAGCATGCTATGATTCAGAGAAATATAGGTGTTACGCACTTATGTATCATATTTGCCATTTCTTTTCTGTTACCTTTCAGACCTATCTTACTAAAGTGATGTTATGGCAAAATAATCTAGTTATGTTATCTTCTGTTTTAGTTTTAGTATGTGAGAATATTTAACTACTTCGTTTTAAATAATTTTATAAAAATCATCCCAGGTAAAAATCATAACTAAAATATTTTAGTATGATTTCATTATGAAATTTAAAATGATTTTTAAGAATTTAAATAAAAAATGTTTTCAGATACTTTATTCTAAAAAAGGCTTGCCTCAGTTTATTTAGGAGCATTTTATTTACATTGAGTCCACTCTTTGCCACTATAAATGGCACATTCCAAATCTCAAGTTGCTCCTCAGCAGTACTCAGCTCAGAAGATACTCAGAGTATCTTCTGCCAGTATAACTACAAATGCCAGACTGACTGTTCTCTACAACAAATGTCCTCAACTGCTAAAGCCAAAAGCACTCAATACAATACACTGTGTTTGGTTTGAGATATTCATTTGCATTGCTGAGCAAAAACAAAGCAAAAAATTTCCTTCACTGAAATGTTTCAAACACAGGTTAGATATAACCACATGCATCTGTGGAGTCACTACTGTGGAAATTGAAAAGTCCTCAGTTCTAGGATTAATAAAAGTAACTCTTATAGCTTCCACTTAATGCTTCTCTTGGCACTTTTATTTTAAGAGCCACCGAGGTGGGAACAATTATCATTCTCCAAGCATTTATTCCTTCTTGCCTTACAAGGTCAGTTGTGGCCATCAATCCTTTAACAATGTGAACCACCAATATCAAAGCAATCCTCACTTACATGATCAAATGAGATGCAAATAATAGAAAAAAAGTTTATTCCCATTGCTAGAAGAGAATTTATTGATAGTATTCAATAAATTCCATTATATAAGATAGTTAACTCTATAAGATCTTGTTACTTTCATAATTTTATGCTTAAACATGTCTTAAAATCAGTAATAAGCCGGGTGCAATGGCACACCCTGTAATCCCAGCAGCTCAGGAAGCAGAGGCAGGAGGATTGTTAGTTCAAAGCCAGCCTCAGCAATGAGGAGGTGCTAGGCAACTCAGTGAAACCCTGTCTCTAAATAAAATACAAAAAAAGGCTGGGGATGTGGCTCAGTGGTTGAGTGCCAATGAGTTCAACACCTGGTACAAACAAAACAAAACAAAAATTAGTAATTAAAAACTGGCATATAATTCAGATTATACATAATAGCATTCAGAAGATACAATGCCAAGTAGGCAGTTAAATGGATCATTCTGCATATCTAATTGCACTTTCCAAAAAAATATTTCTATAGAGAAAATAGGAAAAGAAAAAAATTTCCTAAATTTTGAAAAGCTGAAAGAATCTTTGAAGAAAACTTTTAGAGTTTTTAAAATGTCCTGCTAATGGGAAAAAATTTTACAGCTTTCTAGTGATTTTATAATAATATTTGGAGAAATCAAAATTAATTTACCTAGAACTGCCATCACTGTGCCATGCTCTCTCTTCTTCTTCAGAAGTTCCACCACTGACAGCAACCACTTCACCTTCCTAAGACATTGAAGACATATTTCATTAAATCATTTTAGAAAATAACATCCTGTGATTATAGAATATCAATGACAAAATACTAATSATGTTGGAATATTTAAATTAAAACCTTAACACAGCTTAATTTTACTCAAAAAAGTAAGACAATTAATGTATATGAAGACATAATACTCAATAATACTAGATTCAGACAACTCTCAGATAATTAACATTTAAAAAGCTTCATATCTTCTAAATTGAAAGATATCAAATTCCAGTTTATATTTGAAATTAATTTCTACTTTCTGGGCCTTTAGAAAATTAAGAATTTTTTTCTGGATATACTTTCATAACATTAAAGTTAGGCACATTATGTTTTGCCTATTATTAAAATAGTTTTATCATACAAAAAAACAGGATAATCCATCTCTTATCCAAATGGAAAAAGATTAAAAAATAGCAAGACATTACTTCTCCTTAGTAAGTATTAATTAGTGAAGGCATTTTCTTCAAAAAAGTCAGGTTTTTGGTCACAAAATCTTATATAACTTCTTTGCTCAAATAAACTTTATGCTCTAATAACAATAGCCCTTCATATTTATTAAGCTTTTACTGTATGTCAGAAATGACTCTAAGCACTTTTGTCTGTATCATCCCATTTTGTCTCAACAAAACTGTGTTGGTGGTAAAAAGCAGCTTTTTTTTTTTAAAGAATTTTAATATTTATTTTTTAGTTTTCGGCGGACACAACATCTTTGTTTGTATGTGTGCTCAGGATCGAACCCAGGCCGCACGCATGCCCGGAGAGCGCGCTACCTCTTGAGCCACATCCCCAGCCCCAAGAAGCAGCTTTAATATAAGAAACTAAAGCTTAAAAAGGTTAAGAAATTTGCCCAAGGCAGCACAACTAGTAAGCAGTAAGGCTTAATTTGAAGCCAGATCATTTTATTCCAAAGCTAAGACAACTTTCTATTATGGTTCAGTTAAAACTTGGTATGCATATTTGGATCATTCTTCAAGAGGATAATGAGATGTATTATTCATTTGTGATTTAAATAAAATGATATATTTTGGAGGAAAGTTTTCCCATTTTGATGTCTTAATGAAAAATGTGAATTAGGACCATTCCAAAGAGTTCTGAAAATTACAGGTCCATGCCACTGTTCACAGCTTGCCCTGTTCATAGAGAATATACTTAGAGAATTCTCATAATGTCTAACACCACTTGATAAAACACTGCTCCAAAAGTGAATAGCTGTCAACATCTCTGAAACCCTGACTTAATTAAGGGGAAGAGAAGTGATGATGAGGGAAGAAAGATTAAGGACATGGTTTTAAGTACTAAATAAGATTGGTTTTGTGACTACAAACTGATTGCCTTTGCTAAGAGAATGTATATTTTAGAAGGGACAAATTTATGGATGCAATTATAAATGACGAATACTAAAAAAAAATATATACATGCACACATACCCCAACAAGTCTTTAAAYGGTTACCGTAATTAAAAACTAACCAAAACTGTCAAAAACCTATTGATTCATTCTTATAGTTACATTATACAAGTGCATCATGGTATTATTTTCAAAGTTTGGTATTAAAGGGAACCTGCATTTAATCCCAGCTATACCATTTAATAGTTAGGTGGATCTGAACTCTAAACACCTTTGAACCTCAGAACTCATATATAATGTGATTTGTTTTATGGATTTAAGATCATGAATATATATATGCCATGCCTAGAAGTTAGTCATGGAAGTTATCAAAGTGCTGAAATCTTACATCTGAAGAACTAGTGCCATTTTCTATCTCCTCCAATGGTCTAGGAGTCTCTTCCAGTGCAGATCTTGTACGATAATTATGTTGATTTGCTTGTTGCTTTTTGGATTCCCCAAGATCCAGGAGATGCTCATGAGCATGATTCTGAAAAAAATAAAATGAAATTTATTCACAGTATGCTTAAAGAATAGACTTCTAAATTAAAAAGTTCATTTTTTCATTATTAAAGGACTCATTCATATATATCATGGAAATGGACTAGATTATAGTATGAACTATATTTCAACATTACATCAAGTTAAATCACAAGATAATACACTGAAATTTACTTGCTGATTAATAAGTTTAAAATATCTTTTTTCCAAGTAAGTGATGTGAAGATTCATGATATAAGACTAAGGCAAACAATGAACTCTTTATTTTGTACTTACACCAAATCTATAGAACTGATTTAAAAAAAAAAAAAAAAAAAAGAACAATGGACTATGGGGCACATATAACAGGCAGAGGCCAAATGGAAAACAGAACAGTGATTTAAAAAAACAAAACTATCCTGTCTATGTTTCTTTTACTGGAGATAAATGTGAGAGGTCATCTGTCATAGATGAGAAAACAAGCAATAATGAAACACCTGACAAAATCCACACAGTGACAGAGATTAACTCAACAAACAGGAATATGCATCTGAAAAAATAAGTTAATAAAGCAATCTCAAAGGCAAATAAGAAAGTAACATATCCATGAAATATATAAGTAGTTTTGTAGAAAATTATGGAAAAAAAATCAATCAATCTTGAAGTTAAAAAAAAAACTATCACAACTGAGAATGAAATAAATATTCATATACAAGGATACAAGATTTACTCCACATAGATCATCTGTAAAAGAATTACTAAATGGTTTCATAATTTTGTAGAAATTTTGGGAAATATATAAAGGTATAAAAAGAAAAAAAATAATGTTCAATGACAATGTCACTAATTTTGACCAATCCACTTTTAAGAATTTAATATATCTTTTTTCTTTCATATAACAAACATTTCTACTTACTCAAATCTGTGTCATTAAAAATTCTTACTGAACTTTTAAAGCTTTATCCATAATACCCACTTCTATAAAATAAATTCCAAATCAAAGAACATAAACATTTTAAATGCCTCAATACATGATGCAGTGAAGGAGAAAGCCAGCTGTCAACCAATATTACTTCTTTCCCTTTCCCACAAACAAAAAAAACAAAACAAAACAAAAACAATTTGCTTTATTTATTGGGCTATCATGTGGCTACACTTTTGGCCAATGAGGAATCTGGTACAATATTATTGAGCAACATCAAAGAGCCTTCCTMAGGAGAACACATGTGGCCCTTTCCAACTTCCTCTCTTGATCATCCATCCTATGACCTTAAATGAGGATGTTGGTAGTTTGAGGCCTGAGTCAAATCCAGGAGTATCAGAAATGAAAAAATTCCAGTCCTCAACAATTAGGGTGCCATATGAGGTCTGGATTATTCACTTTAGAATTTTGATATATTTCCAATTAAACTAAGTCACTGTGAGCTGGGTCAGAAAATCAGTTAACTTTGTTCTTTAGGTGGTAACTTGGACATATAATTTTCCTTGACTTTAGACTCAAAGATTTTCAAGCTCCCCCTTGTATTATTTTTCCCTTTCCCCTCACTTCCTCTTGTAATTTTGTATAACCCTGAGGGTCTCCTTCTATTTCCATGCAATTTCCCTTCTCTCTCCCTTTCCCTCCCACCTCTCATCCCTGTTTAATGTTAGTCTTCTTCTCATGCTCTTCTTCCCTACTCTGTTCTTAGTTACTCTCCTTATATCAAAGAAGACATTTGGCATTTGTTTTTTAGGGATTGGCTAGCTTCACTTAGCATAATCTGCTCTAATGCCATCCATTTCCCTCCAAATTCTATGATTTTGTCATTTTTTTAACGCAGAGTAATACTCCATTGTGTATAAATGCCACATTTTTTTAATCCATTCATCTATTGAAGGGCATCTAGGTTGCTTCCACAGTCTTGCTATTGTGAATTGTGCTGCTATGAACATCGATGTAGCAGTGTCCCTGWAGCATGCTCTTTTTAGGTCTTTAGGGAATAGACCCAGAAGGGGAATAGCTGGGTCAAATGGTGGTTCCATTCCCAGGTTTCCAAGAAATCTCCATACTGCTTTCCAAACTGGCTGCACCAATTTGCAGTCCCACCAACAATGAACCAGTGTACCCCTTTCCCCACAGCCTCGCCAGCACTTGTTGTTGTTTGACTTCATAATGGCTGCCAATCTTACTGGAGTGAGATGGTATCTTAGGGTGGTTTTGATTTGCATGAATTACAGTAGAGGGGGTAGGGAGAGAAGAGGAGAGAAGAGGGGAGGGGAGGGGAGGGGGGATAGTAGAGGATAGAAAAGGCAGCAGAATACAACAGACATGAGTATGGCAATATGTAAATCAATGGAAGTGTAACTGATATGATTCTGCAATCTGTATACGGGGTAAAAATGGGAGTTCATAACCCACTTGAATCAAAGTGTGAAATATGATATATCAAGAACTATGTAATGTTTTGAACAACCAACAATAAAAAAAAATAAAAAATTTAAAAATAAAAGATTTTCAAGCTAAGGGCAAAGTAGACAGAACAATAGATTCTTATGATTCCTTGACAATAAAGTACTTACATCTCTCTCTGATTAGGGCATGACCAACTGAAATTCATTGGATCCAAAAATTTTGCCAGAGTAGGATAACAGAGAATCTGGCAGAAAAAGAGGGACAATCCGCCCCTCTTAATGAGAAAACTAAGAACTTTTATGGCAGTATTAGAGAGATGTGATTATTTACAATAACAAATAAGTGAAAACAAAAAGATATAACAAAGAAAAAAAACCCAAAACATTGCTCTAGAGTATGCAGCCAAGACTGAACTAAAGAGCTCATGTTTAGGCAGATTATAATTTATTAGATTTAATGAGTATATATACAAATTGGCATTTGAAGAAATGGCATGCTAGAAGGCAGGAAATGTAGAATTTAAAAAATTAAGTGGTAAACCATAGATACAAAGAGATAATAAGGAGTTAACTACATAATTTTATTTCATTAATTATCCCATTTAGAGTATTAACATTTGTAATTGAAAAGGGGGGGGGTCTTAAAATAGTCATCACCAGTATAACTCCCCATTACGTACAAACACAAGAATGGGATTAAAATTGGAATGGGCTGCACTCCATGTAAGTATAACGTGTCAAAATATACCCTATATATCTAAAAACAACAAAGGTCATCATACTTACAGAGCAAATTATTAAACATCAAAGCAATTAATATTTACCTTTGAAACACTAAGTATTTTATTCTCTTTTGCAACAGTTAAGTGTTTCCTTTTTTCTTCTGACCTATAAGTCTTTATTTCTTCTTCTCCCTTTGCAGTCCGCCATTCTTCCTGCCGACTGAAAGAGAATATTAAAAACTATACATGTTAATTTTCCCCCCAAAGGAATGTTAGCTTTTAGAGAAAGAATGCTACTCATATTTTCTTTCTGAATGGAAGCATGCAATAAAGTTCTGAGTTTAAATTCTTAAGTCATAGGTTCAGGACATCTAGCATTAAATGACTGGCATACTGGAAAGATAAGATGTAGACTACAAGAAAAACTTTTTCTGCTGTGGTCTTYGGCAAATCAAGTATTAGATTCTGCAACCACAGTTATTCTTAGGGTAAGTATCCTAAGGATTAGAAACTGGACTTTCTGTTTTCTAAAGTGAGTATAGGATTTGTACTTTTGATAATCTTGTACACCACACAGATAGCTGGAATCCTTAAAACAGGTTCAACAGAGTCTTAAGGTTGAACTAATATAACTCTTTAAGCTCTGAAAGACATTATTTTCTTTCCAGTGAGACCCAAGTTAGGCATGACTTACTAAAAAAAACTCTATCCAGGCATCAAGATGAATTTGAACAGAAAAAGTTGAGGGATATTAATTCTAAACTTTGATTTCATGAAATCTGAACTCACAGAGACACTTTCATTCCTTACAACTTCAAAGTTTTTGAGGTGCAAAGGTATTGAATCTTTGAACTTTCAATTCTCCCAGGAGTTTTCATAATAGGAAAGGATTTAATATTCATACGCAGAGCACCTATATATTGCTGATACTTTATGACTAGATATCAATGTTATTTTACTTAACAGCAACTTTTCCAATGTGTCTCATCATAATTATAAAGGGAAAATGAGTGAATTTTAAACTTGTGAAAATGACAGGCTTTGGATTTAACTTTTCTTTGTTCTTTAATTAAACTTTTTATTGAAATACTCGTAGATTCAGATACAATTATAAGAAATAATTCAGAGATATTTCATGTATCCTTTATTCAGTTCCCCTCAATCTTGCAAAACCATAGTATAATAGCACAATTAGAATGCTGATACTGATAACACACTAATCTTATTCAGATTTCTCACTTTAATTTCTATTTACTTCTTTGTGTTTGTTCTATGAAAATTCATCATTAAGTGTACATTTGAAAATCCATCACACCAGTCAATATACAGAACATTTCCATCAGCAGGAAGATTACTTGTGGTGTCCTTTTTTAATCAAACCCACCTCAGCCCTGCCTCCCCCACAATCTTAGCAACTACAAATCTATTCTTCATCTCTCTTTCATAATCTTAAAAATGCTCCATAAATGGAATCATACACTATACAACCTTTTAAGATTGTTTTATGTATCAATGGGTTTTTCCTTTTTATACCAAAGTAGTATTCCACAGTGTGGATGTGTAGTTGATTAAACCATGTACTCACTGAAGTACATCTAAACTTTTTCCTGGCTTTGGGGCTTTTACAAAGAAAGTTGTTTATACTTGTATATAGGTTATTGTGTGAACATGAGTTTTCGTTTCTTTTGGATAAAGTAACAAGAAAGCAACAGCTAGGTTACAAGGCATATTTAGGTTTTTAAGAAAGTGCTGACCACTTTTCCATCGAGGCTCTACCATTTTATATTCTCATAAAAAATTCTTAAGGAATCCAATGTTCTCTACATCTTCCCCAGCATTTGGTGCTGTCACTAAAAATTTTAGCCAGATAGGTATGCAGTAAAATTTCCTTAGTAGCTAATGATTTTAATATCTTTTCAGGTGTTTATTTGCTATTCTCTTAAGTAAAAGGTCTGTTCATGTCTTTTACCCATTTTCTGACTGGATTGTATTATTTATTATTGAGCTTTAAGAGTTATTTATAATGTTAAAGATATTAGCCCCCTTTTAAAATATGTGTTTGTATTTAATTTTATTCAGAGTAATTAGTCTGGTTTATTTAAGAGCCTTTTAGAATCAAACTTTAAATTAGTTACCAGGGGCAAATTCTAAAAGATCCCCAAAGAAAGTGTTAGGGACAAGATCTAGGAAGGCCAAACTAAAAATAACCTCTAAAGAGAAAGCCAGAGCCTTGCTTGACCTTGGGCTTAATGGTTAAATACAATGGTAAAGAGATAAAAGGGTAGAGTATTTAAAGAGAAATATCTTTATTTCTCAAGTTTCCTTCTATGTGCAGATCGCAGAACCTCAGGCAAGTGAGCAATCATACCTCTTTACTCATACCTCTCCAGGGGAAACATCTACTAATTAACTGGTATGCTCTAGAAGGAAAATCTAGATTAGGATGGCCCAGCCCTGTGCAACTAATTGCAATGTATATATTCTGCTTTGCACCAGTGGTTTGGAAGGCTGAGGCAGGAGGATCACAAGTTCAAAGCCAGCCTCAACATCTTAGTAATACCCTGTCTCAAAATAAAAAAATAAAAAAGGGCTAGGGATGTTGCTCAGTGGTTAACTGCCCCTGGGTTCAATTCCTGGTACAAAACAAAACAAACAGATAAACCAAATGTCTCATACACAGAAAAAAATATGATGACCATCGGCTACTTATTTTTCAGGTTTAGTATTAAGAAGCATAGTCTCCCGCAAATAAAAGTCATATCCTTCAAAACCGTACCAGAAATAAAAAGTAACATTCTGATTTCCTATGTGTCTTATTCGCCTCTATTATTTTTCAGTTCGTTCAGAATTTGTACTGAATAGTTGATGTTATTTATTAGACCCCCTTTCAACATTAGAATTAAAAACTGGGAAAGGAGCCAACTAAAAAAGGCTGAGTTAGTTAACTTTTTATTAAGGACATCTGTATCATAAGTTACTGCTCACATTTATATCTTAGGTAGATATTTAATCCTCAATCCCCAAACAAATTCTAAGTATTGTCCAATCAAAAAGCTTAACCTGTATGATTAAATCTAAAAATGTTAACTATATAATTACTATTATATTTTGATTTTAAGAACTAGAAAGTCTTAAAATCCAATTCTCAAAGAATATTACACTTTTTATTATAGTATACAAGTCAGTATTAACTTAGATTCATAAAGACCTCATTCATGAATATTTTAGTTCCCCATAATACACAGTATGAGAAGAGGATTATGTCAAATCAATTTTTAATCCATAAATGCATATTTTAAATTTTAAAAAATTTAATATACAAGATAGTTATATATTTTCCAGGAAATGGTTTTTCTTTATGCCTCTGAATAATATTATATAATAGTGAAATTCATTAAAAATCCCAAATAATATCAAGTATATAAAATGTGTTTAAGATATAAATAAGACAAACTGAGATTCATATATCAATCTCAAGCTACTCAATAAAATCTCCTGTTTGGTAAGTTCAAATTAATGGGTTTTTCCTTCCATTCATCTTGGCACATTCCATCTCATACCATTTACATGACTTACTCCTGAAATGAACATATTTAAAAATTTTTCTACAGTCAGAAATAGCTTAAAATACTAGCTTTTCAGATAAATTTAAAAAAATCATAAGGCTGAAAAGATATTTTAAAGACTATAATTCAAAATGAAAGCAAGCAACTATGGTATATACAAATTAACAATTCCCTTACCTGGCTACACCAGCTGACAGCTCAGGTACTACCACCCTTCGACTCCATGCTACAAGATCCCGCTCTGTGGCTATCTCACTCCTTGGTGCATTGCTRTGCATTTGCCGTACACCTTCAATTTGTCCACTACGTCTTAGTCCTACATTTGGTGGTGAATGAACCTCTGAGGTAGAACTTACAGATCCTAAGTTTAAAAAAAAAAAAAAAAATTAGTATGTCCATTAGTTTGTAACCGGAGAAAAAAAGTCAAAATTGTTCTATTGTTCATAGGAAACACAATATTATAGCCACTAATTAAATTATTAAATCAGGAGCTAAATCACAGACAAAAGGTTAATAAAAACAAAATATAGTTATGGTTATTCAGTTGTTAATTCAATGAATCTTAAGTATGAACTGTTAAGACCCAAGCACTATAAGTAAAAATCATTACTTCATAAGAAGCAAAATCAAACTGAAGGACATTTATGGTTCAGTAATTTGTTTTGGCTTTTTCAAGCTTTATAAAAAGCAACAATAAGGGTGATGAGCTATTGAAAATGTGGCTGGGAATATAGCTCAGTAATAAGGCACTTGCCCAGCATGTGTAAGACTAAGTGTTCAATCCAAAGCATTGCCCCTCCCCCCAAAATACCACTCATTTCTAATGTTTTATTACAGAAAACTTGAAAAAATACACACAGTAAAAAAAATCAGTATCCATAATTTAAAGCTTCATATTATGAACATTTTCAGGACATTAAACTCTGTACAAAAACATGATCATTTGACAGCCCAATATTTCATTTTATGGATGTAACATATTTCAGAATTTAAAATATTTCATTTAAAATAGAACTTTTGCTTACCTCTACTTAAGCGACTGGTGTTACCAATACCTGCTTCACCAGAACGTCTGAGGTCTTGTTCTTGTTGTAGTCTTTGAATCATGCTGTCCAGGGGACTGATTTCCTGGTTTGCTTGCTGACTTAAAACTTGGTTTAATCCTGTAAAATAAGTACAAAGATATTAAGAATATTTCAGAAACTCTTCAAACCATTTTATTCATCAACCTTGGAATCTATAATTAAATGTAAATTTTGTTTGGTTAAAAGACCTAAAATTAACAACTATAAATGCTAAGAGTAAAGCAAAGAAAGAAAGAAAAAAGAGAGACAGTGAGAGAAAGAGTGTGTGAGAGATGCGTGCACACATACATACCCCCATATTAGTCCATTAAAGGTAATGATTAGAGTGAGTATAACTGCTTTTACTATGTATTTCCCAAGATCCAGGCACTCATAATTGTTAATTTAATCAAGTATGTATTATTAATTCTACGTTAAAGATAACAAACAAAAACTAAAATAATTATTAAAACTCATACATCAAGGAAGTGGCAAAAGTAAAATTTCTATTTAGAGCACAGTTTCTTAAAAAAAAAAAAAAGATCTCATTACCTATGTTCTCAAAAGAACTTTATGCTTCATTTATGCAACAAATTTTTGACTGTCTACTCTGTGCTAGTAACTATGGTAAGTACTGGGGATACAGTGGTGAATAAGAGATGTCAAGATCCCCACCTTGCAGGAGCTAAAGTAAGTAATATATCTACAGATAAATGCACATTGTGAAAGATGTTAAAATAAAGAGGGTGATAAGATTCTTAAGAAAGGGTGGGTATGGGGAGAGATGGGTAATATCTGTGTCGAGTTGGAACTTACAGAAGTTGTTTTTAAGAAGTTAATGCTTTAACTGAGACTTGAATTAGCCATGTGCAAAGCTAGAAAAAGTTCACTCCTGATAGTACGCAACAAGTCCAAAGGCTCTAAGACCCAAAAGAATTCTGTGTATTTTGATTCATCCTACTTTTCTAGCATCAACTTTTACCCATAATAATCACAGAGGACCACCTGACACTTGTATCTTCCTAACAGAAAATACTACTTTACCACAGAATTTCCACTGTTAAGGATAAACATAACAAAATCTAACTCCTCCTTCAAGCATCAACTAAAAAGCAACCTTCATATTTACTCCATAAAATCTTTCCAAAATACCTCTTGACAGAATTAGCTGCAAACCTCTTTCAATTTCATACCAATCTATACATATCTTAGTAATCAGCCCAGTATGTAACATAAAGGAAAGCTTGGGCAATAGTTAGTTCCTTAAAAACGTGTACTGTCTAAGAATCTTAATATTTCTAAAGATAATACAAAGCCATATATATATATATATATATATATATATATATATATATATATATATAAATTTTGATGACGCTGAATAAAATATAAGAATATAAGACATATGAAAATGCCATGGGAGTAAAGAAAGGAACAGTTAATATTCGATGTGCAGGCATATAAACTAATTGCAGCAGAATTTTAGATTGGGCTTAAATTGGGAAGACAGAGAATATTTTAAATGTAGTGGGGTAAGAAAGAAAAGGAAAGAAAAATTACATGTACTAAGTATATGATATTTCATTTTCTAAAATTTTTTTTGTTAGTTATACATGGACACAATATCTTTGTTCACTTATTTTTATGTGGTGCTAAGGATAGAACTGAGTGCCTCACATGTGCAAGGCAAGCACTCTGCCACTGAGCCATAACCCCAGACCTGCTATTTCATTTTACAGGAGAAAACTACAATTCAATAAAATAAAATTATCCACATCACAAGGTTAGAAAATTGTAAAAGCTCAGAGGCAAAGCTGAAATATCCATATGTGCTTTCCTGATTTGCTGTTGGGAAAACAAGTCATGTTTGAATATTGATGAGTAATTGGGCATAGATCAAATTTACAACTGAGGAAACATAAAAAGTGTGCTATCCAGTGTCAATGCAACAAAATTGCATTCAAATTAATTTATTATAATAGCCAAGATTAACTTTTATCTATATTTCAATTAAAAATTATTGATATAGATTTGCAAATATAAATATAGTTCATAATGATGCTACAGAATTTCTGAATAAAAATTTTCTTTTGTTCTATTTTTATACTTAAGAAATCCAAAAAATGATAGTAAAGATTTTTTTTACTCTGAATTTTGTAAATCAGAACATTGAAAAATTTTGTGACTCAGTATGAAGCCATAATTATTGCTAAAGATTCTTCTGTGATCCACTATTAAAAACTAGTTTCTCTTTCATTTTTGAGCTCATATCTGCTTTATACACTAAGAATAGCTTGGTGTGAAAGAAAGAACAATGAACCAAGAAGCAGAGGTAAGGTTATTACTCTGTGRTTCCATGACACAATACTGTTAAACTTTATTTTGTCAACTTTAAGGATCAAAATACTATACATAGAAGGATTAAATATTATATATGAAAGTTTTTATATATACTATTAAATGGAGAAAAAGAAAGCAATGATAATTAAAGTGCACTGATATTTTAATAATAAATGAGTCCTTTCTTTATTTCCCTGTGTCTGAAATCCCAGCTCACATACCTATTCTGAGACCTGAGCAAAATTTGACTCTTGCCCACTGCAGTACCACAAACTGAAGGCATTCTTCTGATTTCAGTCCAATGACCAATATTTTTCTAATACTGAGACTTCTGTAATCTGAAGATCTGCTTAGACAAATACTAGTTGTTCTCAATTCTTTTGAGTTTATGCAGTATCCATATGCTGAGACACATGAGTTGTTTCACATACTTAGGATATCATGTCTACACTCCTCTGTACAACTGGTAGCAAAGGCAATACTTTTAATGTGTTTCCTTACCCTCCATTCTAAGTGGGCATGCATGTGTCATTCCAAGAGCAGCCCTTTCTATCCATTATGTCCATCTTCAATACAATTTCATAACCAATCCTTTACCAAAAAATAAGCTGGGTTTGCTACATTGCAATGGGAGTGATTTTACTGTGCTTACAAAATGTAAATTCATTATTTACTCATCACAAAATCCACCTGGAGATTTTGTCCATTATGTTAGTCTAAAACAAAATCATTTCACAAAATTGTTCTAGTTTAAAATAGAACAATGCATAATGATATGACTGGCTCAAACTTTATATATCTTCTCCATTATTTTCACTTAATAAATCAGTGCTATACTTGTCAAATAAGGAGGAGTCTGTAGACCTTATCTCCATTATTTTAACTCCCATTCAATTGGACTTTTACACTCTATTACTTCACTGAAATAGCTCAACACTCTTCAACCCCATGTTACTTCTCCTAATTGTTTAAAAGTTGTCCACTTCTTAAAATACTCATCATTGTGAATAGGCAACCTAGTTATAGCTTCTCTCACATACTTTTATTCCCTTCAATAATATCAATCACAATTTTTCACTATGCCTTTGTTTATAATTATGCTTACTCAACTATCTAACCCATTCTATCACACCACTGATCATATTTGTTTAATTTCCTACTGCATATCCAAGGCTTAGCAGGTCAGAAACAGAGGAGATTCTCAACAAGTGCTGCTTAATGAATAAAATAATTGAATTGATTCATCACACAGCAAATATAGAGACAAGTCTATTAGTCTTCAGAAGACATAAGCACATATAAACCAAAATTATTGCCATAAATCTCCATTTTAGTTATCTAATAATTCTTATGTATTATTCAAAAAACTTATAAAACACCACTTTTACTTTTCATTTCCTGAAAACAAAGTTTTACTCAATGAGAAACTTTTAAATATTTCAGTGGAAAAAAAAACAAAATTTGGCTGTCTCTGAAAATAAGCACTTACCTGAGGAAGTGACCCCCATCTGCGGGATGAGCTGCTCCTCTCTACAGTTTTCACGACCAGGAACTAATCTTTGATATCTTGATGGATGAGGGTTACCATCAACATCAACCAAAAATGGTGGAGGCATGAGATGGGGTGCCTGCTGAGTCTGTTCATCTAATACAAAATTGTTGGCATCACGGATAAGAGGCCGATAATCACTATGAAAGAACATCTGATCTGCTATCTGTAAAAAAGGTTCAAAAAAGACTGGAAAAATTAAAATTTAGTATTATAAAGATTTACAAGATTTCTAATGAGAAACATTTTAATACAAATTATGGCAATAAGCAACAATTTAAAGGCATTTTCTGGATCTGGAGATGTAGCTCAGATATGGAGTGCCTGCTAAGCACCCACATGTGAGGCCTTGGCCCAATTAAAAAAATTTCTTTTCTTGAATTAATTGTAGGCAAACTTTGTATTTTTCACATTAAATTTTAGGATCAGAAAAGCAGTTGCTTTCTCTGGAACAGGTAGAGATTGTATATATCAAAGAGCATAGGGGTAGGAAAGAAGGTGGAATTCGATGGTAAGCATTACCCTAAGTACACATAAAAAGACACGAAGGATATGACTCTACTTTGTGTACAACCAGAGTTATGAAAAATTGTGCTCTATATGTGTAATATTAATTGTAATGCATTCTGTTGTCATATATAACAAATTAAATTTTTTTTAAAAAAGAGCTACCTTTAAAAGTAAGTTATTCAATTTTAAACGTAATAGTAAACTCAAATCTAGGCATAAACCATACAATTCACAGAGCTACCGTATCTTAATTCCTTAGGCATATAATAAGCATGGTTTATTTACTTATTTAGGGTGCTAGGAATTGAATGCAGGGCCCCATGAAAGCTAAGTGCATACTCTACCACTGAGCTACACCCTCAGCCCCATGGTTTCTATAATATTAATATAAAAACTAACATAACAAGATATTCCAAGAGTGAGCATTTTCCCTAAAATTTTTGTGGTGATATAAAATTAATATGCACTCAGCCCTGATACATCTGATATCAAAATTTTATTGGTTAATTTGTAATGTCAAATTAAAATTTTGCTGTTCTTTAACCTTTTATACAACTCCACAACAAATAATTAATTAATTCTTTTGCCCACTAACTTTAAAGACAAGATCTTTGGTAAAAATAAAACAAGAAACATTAGTTACTATAAGTGGGTCATAAATTTTTAGAGAAACACAAGAAAGTTAAAATTCATATCCTAGGTAAAATGTATATTATTTACATAAATAAAACATTTTACATAATTTCTTTCATCTCCAGTTAAGATATGCCAAGTTAAGAACTCATATATAGTTTGTTCTTAAAGACTCAAATCTAGTTTGCTCTAACAGACTCATTACCTAATTACAGAACAGTAATATTTTAAGAACTATCTTCATCTTCCTTTTCTAAAACACAAATTACCAGACTAGTTAAAATATGGTTACTGACTAAAAAATGTTGATTTCACCCACTTCAAAACAATACAACTCCTAATCACCCATGGATGAAAAATAAGTAAGGAAATGATGTATATTTATTATACTCTACCTTGTCATATTTGCTACTGGACCCAAAGCCAAAAATTAAAAGATGTCCGTGAGAGTCTGTGCATGCAAAATGCTGACCATCAGGAGAGCATTTGCAGTCAAATACTGCACCATGTCCTTGGCCTTCAATCTGAAATATATTTAACCAACAATCAGAAAATTCCCACTAAAAAATTAGAATTTTATGATAAAAGATGTATAAGTATATATCCTAATGAAGTGAAGATTAAGTATAACAAGCACAAGCACAGTACAATAAAATTGGTGAATATTCATGAAAAGTGCCAGATTAACACCCCTGAAAAACAAAGAACCCTATTTATCCACAGACCATACACAATTCAGGAAATAAAAGAACGCCAATCTCCCCCACCCATCGAAGTCTGCTTCACGTTTTTAATCCAGACTTAAAATGTAATAAGCCATACATTTCATCTATTTCCATCCATTCATGCCCTTTCTGCAAAGGCTGACAAAATGTAGTAACTGTAGCGATTTTCTGATAACTCTTGGAATTAGGAGACAGAGATCACTGCTTACAAAATTCATTTTTTTTGGTAATAAATTCCCTGGTGGTCTGACTCATTTTTCAAATGGTGAATTTCAAAGGTTAAAGAAAAGGTTTTTTTTACCTGATAACTGTTTTCTGTTTTCCAGTTCCATTAATCCAGAACGAATGGATTTCTCCCTGCAACCTGTCAATCAAACAGAGGTGGCCAATCACCACTCTGAATTTTTTGCTCTCAGTGCTTCTTCAGACTATGTTCCAGTTGAAAACTTCTTTAGCAGTGTTCTGAAAGAGGTAAAAATTCTACCCTATCTAAAGCACATCTAGGGACTGAATTTCAGAAACAACTGAAATAGGGAGTTGACTCCCTAACTACAGATGATTTTCGACAAATGCCATTTGGATTTCTGGATTAGCAGAATCGGAACACATACACATTATCAGGTAAGAAATACCTCCTTTCTGTTCCGGTATCCACTGATCTAGAACAAATTGAGTATTATTAGTAATATCCCACGAAATACTTGGAAAGAGTAACTTTTTTTGCTTTAGTTAAAAATCTGGCATAAGAATGGATGCACAGTTCATCAAATACACAAGTGAGTTAAAATTCAGAAGAAGAACAATTGTTTCTCAAGGAAAGTTTGTACTTTGGTCAAAAGATGAAATATCACTATGAAAAGAAGGGCTCTGCCTAAGAAGTTAATACTGCAAACAGGAATTGCCTCAAAAGACAACTAACTTTTCTTTTCACTTACTGAAAAAGAAGAAATGTATACAATAGTTCTTATTAATGTTGTTTTGGATGGTGACAATGGAAAAGAATGAATAACTTTCCTTAAAATATAAACATATACAAGAAAGCTAATAAACTTGTCTAATGTATAATGCACATAAAAACTTACCATAACAAAAATAAAATGAACCATAAGTGAATAGATTTATTTATTGGATATGAAGAAAATTAGAGAATGAAAAGATAACAGAGGAAGGTAACTGATTATAAGTCTACTTTAAAACAATTCATAAACAAGAAGGAAAAGAACAATTTCTCCTGATTAATCTAAGGGCATTAGTAGCCAAATAGCATTTGCCAAAAAAGACAGACTGTAAGTAGAAATATCAGGATTCAAATTTTCACTTTTCAATGTTTTTCTAGACAAGATTTTCTTTTAAAGTTACATGGACTGTTTTAAATAACTACATGAACAAAGTTTATGTCTAAATAGAATTTTACATCAAAAACTCAAAATTATAGAAACTTCCTTAGCTGTATGTTGTTAAGTGATTTTAGTCCACTCAAAATTTCACAAAAACAAGAGACAAAACAAAAAAACAACTACTTTATAAATCCACTCTACTAAATGCTTCCAAAATGACAATACTATTACAAGTCTAGGTTTACAAGTATACCATAGTAGAAAGAAAAAGATTTGAAAGTAGTCTAAGTCAGCAATGCCAAAGGAAATCTAATAGATTTTCATAAGCATGATATGCTTCCTGTGATATTTAAGCTGTTTTGCTATATATTTTTCTTTTTAGAGGGAGTAGGTGGGCCTAATCAACTCTTTATCCATGCTATCAATATTGTCACATGTATAGTTAGCAGTTCTCTACAAGAATACTTTGGGAGAGATGGAATTTATAAAAGTCTAAAAACGCAAAGAAAAAATAGTAATCATCTTTAAGATCATTGAGCATCCTATATATCACATTCCATTTTGAACATGGCAGGCTAGAACTATTTTTTTTTAGTGCCAGGCATCTGTTTACCTCTACAGTGACTTTTATGTAAGAAAAAAGGTAAACTACATTATTTGGATTAATGACTATTCATTAAAGAAGGCATTATAAGAAAATACTCTATTCATGAACAAATTAGAAAAGGTACCTAAAAACATTAATTAAAAAACCAAGTTTATCTTCAGTAAAGGCTCCTTGCATAATGAACGCCCCTACTTATAGACGGCAGATTAGACTTTCCAAACACTTGATGATGCAAAGGAGACAAATATTTTATTTTCCCTATATAACTAAAAATCTACCCTTTTGATGTGTACTATGATTTAAAAGTCACATAAGAAAGTCAAACATTTGTCTCTGAAAAAAAATTTGATCTTTTAAAACCACAATCAAGTATTTATGAGTAAGAATTCTCAAAGGAAAAATTTAATCATAAAAGCACTATTTGAATATATATGCATAAATAGAAAACAATGAGGCAAACCTTCACAAAAGAAAAATACCTTCTCTATTCATATGAAAGGAATATGGATCTATCATAAAAGTAAATGTACTGTCTAACAAAATAATGTGTCAACATAAAATTTAATATTATATATAGCTTATACTAGTACTTCCTGCATTGCTATAGCAAAATAATTCCAACAGAAAATAATGACAAATTTCCAAATGAGTTTTAAATAAATTACTGTTGTAATAAAATGAAGAATACTCATTATACATTACCCAGGGCCTATAAAAATAAAGACCACATAATGTAAGAAACTCATATACATTAAATAATATCAAGAAATAGCTGAAATAAGCCATGATAGTATTTGCCAAGAACTGCAAAAATTGAAAAGAGGAATTAAAAGAAAGAAATAAAAAAATATGCTTGGTAATTTTATTTATATATATATATATATATTTTTTTTTTAAAGCAGAAGATGAGAGGACCACATATTAAAATAATTATTTCCCTACTAGAAAATTATTAGACTGAAGAATTATAGAAATATTAACAAGAAATGAGTAGTATAACCTTTGTTAGAAAGTTTGGAGATTTATTCATACTGAACTTTAAAAAAAAAATCAATGAAAAAATTTCTGAGATGAAAGTTTTGCTGATGACAAAATTACTGTACTTAAGAAAGAATGTACAACTTCTAATATAATTTATGTGAAGCATAAAGATCAATGATTAATAGAGACAGAGGAATGAGGTTTAAGACCAAAGAGATCTGTTCACCAATAGTGGGCAAAAACATCTCATATGTCCATGGAATGATGGAGAATATTTAAGTGATCATTATAGATTCCTTTCTAATGCACTACTATTTGATATTAAGGAAGACTTAGTGGAAGAACTGAACAAATGTGGAAATGAAGTACACATGTCAATTCATGCTAAAGTGACAGGGTCTTAATTATTTAACACAGATAAACAGATCTGAGCATTAAGAAGTATGTACTTCTTGAGGGCCTCAACACAAAACAGGAAAATTTTAAAATGTGGGCTTAGGCAGAATTACACCGTTAAGGAATTATTTTAATTCTATGACCATGATCACTGTTCTTGTTTTGTGCATTTAAAAATATATATAACATTAATTAGAGGAAAACATCTTATCTAGAAAACATTTCAAAATTTAAAATTGTACACCTTTTAATATACTCTAATATTAAATTTTATGATAGATTCATATACCAAGAGTCAAATAGCTAAGTAGTGGAATTTATACTAAGAATTGTCCTTAGAAGTTCTTCTTTATGTGTAGAGAATTTTAAGAGTTAAATAAACTTAGTATTGAAAATTCTTTATGATAATGTTATTACATAACTAAGGACAGCTATTTAAAACTAATGGTATCAAGATAAAGTAATTTTTAAAATGCTATATGCCTGGTTTGATTTTTAAAAAAAGATAAGTAGATTAGCTCTAGATTGTTGTCAAAAGAAAAATATTATAAAAACAATTCATCTTCAAATTTAATCCCATTTAGTTTATCTATAATCTGATACTGAAGATAAGATAGCAATATTATATTCACCAAGTCTCCTTGAAATATACTCTCCTTTCATGTCTCTAGCACAATATAACAAGATGTCTTCCCAACCTATTCCTTCTGGTTGTTTATCTCTTATCTACTAAGTAAGTATATTTTTCAGTTTAGTTCTAAACCTTCTAAGCTATCCCAATTTCATAAAGAAGGAAAAACCATTTGACATGAGAACACTTCAACATTTCTTTCTCTTTACTCCTAGCCCCTCTAATTTGTCTCCAACTGCTGGCTGGCCATTTTCATATAGGCAGCTCAATATAATAAACATATACTAGAAATGAACTAATAAAATAATCAATTCTTGTTGGGCATACTGGCATGCACCTGTAATTCCAGTGACTCAGGAGGCTTAGGAAAGAAGATAAGTTCAAAGCCTGCCTCAGCAACTTAGGAAGACCCTGTCTCAAAATAAAAAATAAAAAGGCTGGATATGTAGCTCAGTGGCAAAGTGTCCTTTAGTTCAATCCCCCATTAACCACACACCCCCAAATGAATTCTTCTTCAATGTTTAATATTTCTATTAAAAATACATTTGTTATCAAGGTCCTCCAAGTACACAATTTTGAATACATTTATTAAATCTTTTCTCCTTGTTACCGTTCAGAAACTCTCATTACCTAACTTTGTGATCAGTTTTGTACCAGACCCAAAATACCAAAACTTACAGTTTTTCCCCCTTCAAAAATTTCCCACTACTTGCCCATATAATTTTTCATCCTTTACTGATGAAAGTAGTTCTCCCCACATCCACATTGAATTTCATATCTGAGATGCTATGACTAGCAACCCAACTATTATTCTCTTAGTTTCTGTAATATCCTATAACTTACTAAA